AGTTGGAGTTTTGAACATTGGTTAAAAGGATTTAACTAGTTAATAATATAGTAGTACAATATAATATAGTGAGCTAAAATACTAATGATCTTGATAGTAATATAGGTTAATCCAACTGGTTAAAATGATATATATACTTTGGTTTGGTTACGCCATATGTTATCATTTTATTAGTCAAATAGCAGCTTATTATTTTCATTTTGTTCAGAAAAATATTAGATTGGGGATTTGAATACTCTAAATAAAAGATGATAGCATCACCTTATTTTTTTCCAACTTGATTATAATAAACAAAGACAAAGACACATACGTTTGTTTTTTTTTGTCAAAACAAAGATACATATTTTTACCCTTTTCAAAACCATATAAAAGCGTTATTTTAAAAGGAACAATAGAGATGATTTGTATTGCAAATAAAAATCACAAAATGCTTGTAATATATAGGAGTTGTGTAAGTTCAGTCAGTGATACAAACACGACCAAGTCAACACAGAAACCAATTTCAAACAGAGCGGCTATCATTTGGAGTTTACAAAATAGATTGCAAAACACAATACGAAATGTTTTTAATTCATTTGATGTTAAGCGGAGATGATACGATGGAAGATATTTGGGGCCGCCTCTAGGTGATCGAGGGACGTGCATCGCTTTCTCTCTTTCAACCAACCCCGCCCTTCTATTTTCCCAATAAACTTTTAGTTTCTTTTAGAATTAAATTATGATTTTCGAGGAAAAAACATCGAAAGCATATTCGATTCGATTCTTTATAGCCCATAATGTCGGAAAGAGACATGAGAAATCATATTTAAATATTGTAAAGTACTTTTCCTTTCGTCATAGCTTACGGTTACACTCTCCGAGTGTCCCGAGTCTCCTAACCAAAAACAGTTTTTTTTAAAGAGTATTTGTTCTTTATTTCCGTCATGATTTTTTCGTTTTAAAGTTTTTTTTTAAAGATTTAGTGGAGTCTTTGGTAATAATAATCTTCTATAATATATCCTATCAAAAATCTGGCATGATTGAAGCTAATACAACAAAATATTGCAAGTGTTGTTGGCTTAACAAACGACTTAATAGTAGAAAAGGCCTGCTTATGATCATATAGTAGTGATGAAGAATGAAGATAGGCCTGCTTATGATCATATAGTAGATCGTGAGATGACTAGCGAAATTATCATTTATCATGATCTATACCATTCAGATATGTGAGTTTGAGAAGGTTAGAGCGAAAGACAAATATTTGAATCCGGATTGCCAGACTTTTTGTAGACAAACTGCTGCAAATGATTTTCTTAAGAGATATGAAGTAGAAAAGGAAAAGCTGAAAGAGGTACTTGTGAAACATCGAAGTCGGGTGTGAGAAACACAAAGACTCACTAAGATGTCTATTTAGAAGGGCCAAGGTTAGAGAGGACATCTTTTCAAAATTTGGATTTTTTGAGTTATTTGAGGGATTACCAACATCAACTAGGTGATTTAGCCTCTATGGCATGCAATGTGCTTGGTATTCCAATTACTACAATAGCATCAGAATCAGATTTTGGCATCGGATCTCGAGTGTTGACTCCATATCGAAACCGCTTGCTTTCTCCCAATATGAAAGTAAAAAAATTAAATTATTAATTAATCATTATGTGTTTTCAACTAATTCACATATAAAATTGTAGGTAGCATAGAAGATAGTATTGACACTAGGAACGAAGATGTTAGAAAGACGACAAGTACTAGTTCAGGAGGAGTGTTCAAGATCAGAAATGTGCCATGAAAGAATGGTACATTTTTTTACTCTTTGTCTATTCACAATATTTGTGTTTGTTGGTATGAAAGAGAGTAAAGAGACCATGAATGCTTGGAAGTCAATGTGTAAGCATGTAACTTAGGTTATCGATAGTTCGTAAAAGCACATGAATTTCTGAAGATTTAAGTGTTTGTTGATAGAAATTTATCAAAAAATATTGTTGTTTATCAAAATTTATGAGTACTTTAGACGGATCTAAAAATGGGCAGCCCTAATAGACCTTAAAAAACTAAATGGGATTTAAAGAATTTGGGTCTAAGTGGGGTGAGTTTAAATGGGACGGGTCTAGATGGGGTGGTTCTGCCCATATTAACATCTCTACATAAATCTAAGGAAATATGTATAATTCCTAGCTATATTCGAAAACACTTTATTCCAACAAGGATCTTGCATGGCTTCTTTGAAATTATTTGGTTCAACAGCATCTGTAATCCCGGCAATGAAAGTACGTCTTGGACATTATTGCTGAAAGTGGTCTTCTTAGTTCAAAACCTTGTCCAACACCTCTCAAAAAAAAAAAAACATCGTTTAGCTCTCATTGATAGCTCTTTTCTTGATGACCCGACAAAGTACAGACGTTTAATGAGATGTCGGATTTATCTCACTCATACGCATTTTGAGCTCTCATATTCTATTCATGTGTTATCTCAATTCATGCAAGCACCTAAAGAAGCTTGTTGGGAAGTAGCGTTCAGGGTGGTACTGATTCTTAAAGGGTTTCCGGGTCGAGGCATTATGCTTAAAGATGACAAAGATCTCTCGCTCACCCTGCTTTGCAATTCCAACTGGGCCTCCCGTCTATTGGCAAGATGCTCCCTAAGTGCCTACATAGTCCTACTTGGTGGCTTGCCAATTTTGTGGAAAACTAAGAAGCAGGATATTGTTTCACACTCGTCAGCCGAGGTAGAGTATAGGTCAATGTCCACTGCATTAAGAGAAATCAAATGGATTCGTAAGTTGTTAAAAGAATTAGGTGTTGATGTTTCCGTTCCTACACGTCTCTTCTGTGATGGCAAGGTCGCTATTCATATTGCTGTGAATCCAGTTTTCCATGAGCGTACAAAGCAAAATGAAAATGATTGTCATGACGTAAGAGATGCAATCCGTGATGGTATTGTTGTGACTGAGACGTACGGATATTCAAGTTGCAGACATTTTAAGTAAGGTGCTTGGATGAGTTAAAATCTTCATAATTTTCACCCTCCAACATGAATGAAAATGTTGAAAATCTTTACTTTTTAATTTTTAATTTTTTTTAATAGTGAGAGACTCATTGAGAGTTTCTCACTGTAGATGGTCTAACATGTACCATTATAACGAGGATGGTGCAGTGGGAGTGTCTCAATGAGTCTCTCACTATTAAAAAAATTAAAAAATTAAAAAAAAAAAGAGAATGAGATGAGTCTCTCATTTGAGAGATTATGAGAGTCTCTCATATGTTTTTCTATAACTGGTTTATTTTTTTATAAATTAAAATTTAATTATTAAAACTAAATTTTACTTAAAATAATAGAATTATATTACATACTCATGTGAATCTCTCACCAATGGAGATGCTCTAAGTCTAATATTACTTATCGTTATTAAAAGTCCCATAATACTGAAAAGGACAATCTTCAGCCTTATTGCGTTGGATATTTTTCATTGATATTCCATATATTTCTGTAACCGTAAAACTCCCTTTCTTAATGAAATTGCATTTTCAGTGTTAAAAGAAGATAATTCAAGGGGCTGATACAGTGATACGAATATAGAGCCATAGAGGTAGCAACTATTGCAAGGACATTGCTCTATAGGCTTCGAAGCGAGAATATAATATAGTTCATACTTTGGCTAAACAAAGAATCGATTATTAATACGTTTTATTCAAGTTGTATGTATCCTCCAAATTGGCTGACTGTTTCCTTCTATGTGACTAGCTAATTTACGTTTTCAAGTTATATAATATTAATCATCTTATTATTTAACACAAAATGAACCTTTTAATGTACTCAAAAGCGTTTTGGATTTAATTTTATCTTCGAACAAATAGAGTTTCTTTAATTAACCGGCCTGATGGATACCTCTGCAAACAGAAACTGGATTATAAAAAAAGGATGTGGAGTGTGTACGAGAAGAATGATTTGTCTCTGTTAGAGTTGTTATTCTTGTAATTGTGTATCTCTACATGAAATTATGTTTTTTTTTTCAAACTAAGATTTCATTAAATAAAACCCCATTACTCGAAAAATTATGGTTTCTAAGTTTCTTAAGCTAGTAGCTCAAATGAATTTACTATAAATAAGTTTACGTGAATTGTTGTTAATTGTGGGTAAACATTAGTTGTTGTATTGACTAAACGTACAGTTTACAAATTAGATGGAGTATTAAAAAACAAATCTAATCCATAGACCGTAGTTGATAGTGATTGCTTAGAGAAAGTATCTCAGAAACTAATTAATTCCGGTTATTAGAAAGTTGAACCGGGAATCAATTAAAATAAAATCCATTTTATTAGTAAAATAAAGGGAAAATCCATTTCCAAGATGGACTAACACTACTGTCACTATCTCGGTCAAGCGAGTATCGACTTAAAAAAGAAATATATAATATTTTTATTTTTTTCTGAAATTGATACGTATATAAATGGCACAATTGTATTTCGTAAAAAAATAATATCTCAATCATACTAAAAATCGACTTCACAAGAAATCCTTCGGCAGATTCGATTGCATTTGCAGGTAACGTCTGCTCATTATTAATCTTTCCTCTCTCGATTAGTTTAAAACCCAACGGAAATTTCCAAGGAAGATGATGTTTGAATCAGTCAACCCGTAAACCTTTGTTTCCTGTAAATTCTCTGAACTGGGTTTCCTCTTAATTTATCATTTTCTCGCCGGAAAATCTCTCATCAGAGTTTCCTTGTAGTTCACGGCGATGCTATAGTCCGCCTTGAAAGCGACTGTCTGATATATATTAGTTTAATTACGCAATCACTGTGAAATTTACCGATTCAAACTTGTTTTAAACAATGTGAAAAGCGAAGACTTTGATAGAAAAAAACAAAAACAAGATTTGTCCGAAAAAGTCTTCCCGATTGATCTCTGTAAAACTCACCAGAAATCAAAGTCAATAAGCTCTCATATATATATATATATAACTCTGTGTAGATCATTCATAAAGAAGTATACTTTTTGGTTGGGTTATCTGAAATTTGACATATATGCTTGTAGCGTTGTTGCAGGCGATTGTGTTGTTCATCTTATTCTGGGTTTGGTTGTCTGTGATGGGAGGAAGCAGCTCAAAAGACTCGACCAGAGGCGGAAGCGGTCGGAGGTATTCTCGTAGTCTGTCTGGGAGCTCGTCTGCTTCTTCTTGGGTACAGTACGGAGACCAGAACAGCTCCTATCACACACCAAGCCATCCATCTGCGAGTCCTGCTCCTTCCTACAATCCTGGATGGCAAACTCAGAAGAATCTTGAGAGAAAGTACTCACGGATCGCTGATAACTACCGATCCATCGATGAGGTTTTGATTCACAGAAAACTCATTTGTGTAGTTCTTGTAAAGATCTCTCTATTCTTGTTTTGTTGATTTCATATTCTCTCAACAGGTTACTGCTGCGCTTTCACACGCCGGTTTAGAGTCCTCGAATCTGATTGTTGGTATTGATGTCACGAAGAGCAACGAGTGGACAGGTTAGACTTAGATTATCTCTATGTATAAGCCAATGTTTTGAGTAAATGGTGCTGTGATCTGAAAGCTGACTCTGGTGATTTTGATTCAGGGGCGAGATCATTCGGTAGGAAGAGCCTGCATTACATTGGAACGGCTCCAAATCCTTACCAGCAAGCTATTTCCATCATCGGAAAGACTTTATCGGTCTTTGATGAAGATAACTTGATCCCATGTTATGGATTCGGAGATGGTAATAAACCATAAAGATCCACTCTTTTTTTTTTTTTTCATCCAACTGTTAAAAGCTTGTTGTAGATTTTTAAGGTTGGTTTCTTCGGTTTTGAATATGCAGCTACAACACATGATCAGGATGTGTTCAGTTTCAATCCCAATGATGCATTCTGTAACGGGTTTGAGGAAGTTCTCATGTGTTACAGAGAGATTGTTCCCCAGCTCCGCCTTGCAGGTTGAGTGATGAGATCAAGAAACCGTTTTTTTTTCTACTGCCTGTGTTCTACTTTTTCTTGATGTTTTGCTGGTTCTGTAACACAGGTCCGACATCTTTTGCACCCATCATCGAGAGGGCCATGACAATTGTGGAAGAAAGTGGAGGACAGTACCATGTTCTTCTCATCATCGCTGATGGACAGGTAAAGATCGCTGTGTTGGAACAGTGTTTGAGTTCAGTTCTGAACATTCTCAGATTGTTTTGAGCTTTCTCTTGTGTTAGGTGACAAGAAGTGTTGATACAGAGAATGGAGCAGTCAGTCCACAAGAGCAGCAGACCATTGACGCCATTGTTAGAGCAAGGTCAATAAAAAACAACCTTTTCTTCCAGTAAAACCTTGTTTCATTCTGTTGATCTCTGCTCTGTTTCTAACTTGTGATTGCTTCCATTTGCAGTGAGTATCCTTTGTCGATAGTTCTTGTTGGTGTTGGAGATGGTCCCTGGGACACTATGAGACAGTTTGATGACAACATCCCCGCTCGTGCCTTTGACAACTTCCAGGTAATAATAATTACCAAACAAGCTCTCTGCAAATAGTGTAGATCCTTTGTCTCTTGTCCTGGCTGATGAATCAAATTCTTAAATCCTTTTTCAGTTTGTGAATTTCACGAGTATAATGTCAAAGAACATTGATCCAGCAAGAAAAGAGGCAGAATTCGCGCTTTCCGCGTTGATGGAGATCCCTTCTCAGTACAAAGCCACCCTCGAGCTAGGCTTACTCGGGTAAAGTAACTTCAAGCATATGAGTTCATCACAATGAAATGATTACAACAACCAATAATCTCCTTTCCTTTGTTTTCGAATTCGCAGACGAAGAACAGGAAACTCTCCAAACAAGATTGCGCTTCCACCACCGACTTATGCTACTCAGTCTATGCGCAACAGCCCAAGAACATCTCGATCAAGCAGCTTTCAGAACAGAACACCACAACCATATGATGCTGGTGTTGCCACTGCACCACTTTCAAACGCTCGTAATGATAGCCAGGTATTGTCATATTATAAAGAAAGAAAACAGCATTGGTCGATCATCTTTCCGAGCTAATCACATGTTTTTTTTGTTTGTCGGATGAATATCAACAGCTTTGCCCTGTATGTCTAGTGATACCAAAGAACTTGGCTTTCAATTGTGGTCATCAGGTACATGTCCGAGCTAGTTACCTAAAGATCGCTCTTTAGACAAAAACGTGAACTTTCTTTTGTTTTGCTTTTGTGTTCTGTTCCACAGACTTGCTCAGATTGTGGCGAAGACCTCAGTGTTTGCCCTATCTGCCGAAGCTCAATCTCGGTTCGTATCAAGCTTTATTAAGATGAAACTGTCTCTGTCAAGAGCTGAAGGAAACCAAGGTGTGATCCGAGCAGAGCTCGAGTGAGTTTTCCATCCGAACTAGATCTCATCAATGGTGGTGGAGATATATGACCAGTGTCCAAGCATTTGTTTCTACTTTGAGCGGGAAGTAACCGTTGAATGATTTTTCGATCAATCACGGCTTCTTTCAACGGTTTGTAGATAATCTTATTCAGTTTTTGCAATCTCATTGCACATGAAAAAACACACAGAGCAGAACTCTCTCGTCAGGTGCGAGATGTAAATAAATGATCTTTGCTCTGCTGCAACAGACTTGTCTTACAGATTGTGTAGATAAGAATTGTACTCTTTCTTCTTTGAAGAGTCTTGTTGAATGTTCCCATGATGATGTATATATACCTTTCTTGTCTGAAATCTTTAGTCTTCAACACATGAGCCCCAAATGGTCCTGATTCAATACATGAATCGACATCTTATGGACCGTAGAAATGAACTTTCGACAAAAAAATGTTATACGGGAGCACAAAGTTCCACTTCAAAGCCTCGTACTAGATTCCTTTTTTTGTTACGTATTTGATGCTTTTTAAGTTCTTTGTGTAAGAGAAGATAAGATACAAAATAAAAGAGAGAGAGAGAGAGAGAGAGAGAGAGAGAGAGAGAGAGAGAGAGAGAGAGAGAGAGAGAGAGAGGTACAAAATAAGAAAATCAAAACCCAAATTATAAGAACAAAAAAAGAGAAGTAAAAACAGAGGTTTGGATGTAAAACAGAGGCGGTTTCGTTTTTCACCAATTCTCCCCAAGAGCTAGAACGTAAACTAATTTTAGGGTTTGAACCAATTATAAGGAAAATTCGAAATTTATTCAACCTGAAATTACAGAAACATAATAAAAAAAGGAAACTTTTTGGTTGACATGAAAAAAAGGAAAACTGGTTAATATGACCGTTAACTTAAGAGCACGAAACAAACAAAAAATGAAAACCCAATGACGCGTTTATATAACCCTATATATATCTCGTTTACACAATTTCTAAAGCTTCACAATTCACTCTCTCACTTTCTCTCTCGATTTCTAGTTTTTTTTTCCTCTGAATTTTGTTGTGAATCTTTGCGTTTTCAAAAGATGAATACCCCACAAGTGGATGTTTGCGTCGTCCTGTCGACAAAACAATCTCTATCACACGGACACAAGATCCTCATCCTCGTCCACGACACCACCCTGCGACATTATCTCATCAACAACAATCTCCTTAGCTCAGATCGTCTTTACATCCAAGAGCTTCTCCAAAATCAGCTCGTTCGCGACCGTTGGTTATTCGTACACTTAGACAGGACGATCTCTACGGCTGCAACCGAGTTGGGTTTTGACCGTAACGGTTTCAGGATGATCATCGACGTCAGAATTACTCACCAGACCGTCCCTGAGCCGTGTTCTATCTGTCTTGACGATCTCTTCGGTTCGGATTCGAAACTTGGTGTTCCTTCACGCATGGCTTGTTCCCATGTCTTCCACCAGCAAGGAATGCATCTTAAAGTGGCTTTGTTAAGTTATATGGACTTCCAACTCAAAACCAATTGGCTATGAGTGGATTAGCCCAAGTCTTATATATACTAGTGTTGGTCCCCTTAAACTTCCGATGTGGGATTCCAACACGCCCCTTCGAGATGATGGCTCTTATCAGCCTATCTCGAACTGAATCCCACTTTAGGACCAGTAATATGATAGATAAGGAAATATAATAGAATAGGAATGTAGTATATTTTGTAATTATTATTTAACCGTTGTAATATTACTATATAAACATCAATAGAATAGAGAGAGAGGTACGGATTGTGCTATTCATTATCCAATATGGTATCAGAGCTAATTGCTCTAAGAAAAAAAAATAATCTAAATTTTATTTTGTTCGCCGCCTCTCTCGAGTCTCATTCTCCCTCTTTCGTCTTTTTCATTCTCCTTTTTTAGTCTTTTTCTGCAAATATTTCCAACTTTTGATTCTCAATTCTCTCTTTTCTTTTTAATTCTGCAACTATTTTCTGTACTTATTCTAAATTGCATCAATGGCGGCTGCTGCAAGCCTAACCCAGATCCGGGCCCACATCCCAATCATCCTCGACATGAACAAGATGAATTACGATCAGTGGCGCATCTTTTTTGAAACCCACTGTTTCAGCTTCTCCCTCACCGGACATCTTGATGGCTCAACTCTCCCAACCGGACCGACAGACACAGCGTGGAAGCAACTTGATAATACGGTTAAAATGTGGATTTACGGTACAATTACCAAATCTCTTCTCAACTCTGTTCTGAAGAATGAATGCTCTGCTCGAGAACTCTGGCTCACGCTTGAAAACCTCTTCCACGATAATAAGGAGGCTCGTGCAATCCAACTCGAAAATGAACTTCGTACGTTGACAATCGGAGATCTCTCGGTTCATGATTATTGCCAAAAATTGAAGTCGACCTCAGATATGCTTGCCAACGTCAACGCTCCTGTTTCAGATCGCTCCTTAGTTATGCATCTATTAAATGGTCTCAGCTCCAAATTTGATAACATCATCAATATTATCAAACATCGCACACCTCCATGCTCATTCGGCGATGCAAGATCCATGCTCATTGATGAGGAATCTAGACTCAAAACCAAACATCAATCTGTTTCACATCATGACGACAATGCTTCATCGCCTCAGATTCTTTTAGCCACGACTCCTCAAACGCGTCCATACCAACCGGAATTCACCAATCACCGTGGATACAATAACAATAACAGAGGCTATCGCAACAACAGAGGAAATCGTGGTCGTCAAAGTCAAGGAAGAGGACGTAATAACAACAGCCAGAATTGGAACTCTCGTCAATCATCTTTACCTCCGTGGTCTTGGCCCCATCAACAACCAGTCTGGCCACAACATCATCTTGTTTGGCCTCAACAAAACTGGTATAATCGTCCCCAACAACAACAATTTCAGACTCCGTTTTCACCTGCGCAATCTGAAATTCTTGGATCAATGCCACAACAACAACAACGTGGTGCTGCTTATTTATCTCAGACTAATCAACCACAACATCAGGGAGAAATGAATCAGGATCTCATTCCAACTATGCTCGCTGGTGCTTTCAACACAATGACCTTACAAGATCCGACTGATTCCGGATGGTACATGGACACAGGCGCAACTGCACACCTAATTTCACAACCAGGTAAGCTCTCTTTCATTCAATTATCACCTCCCTCTACTCTTCTATTGGTAACAGTTGGTAACGGTTCGTCACTACCGGTCACCGCAAAGGGTGAAACTTCATTTTTTACTTTAACTCGTCCTCTTTATCTTCAAAATATTTTGCTTTGCTCAGGAATTTTAAAAAATCTGATTTCCGTACGTCAATTAACAAAAGATTATTCTTGTTCTATTGAGTTTGATCCTTTTGGTTTTTTGGTAAAAGATCTTTCAAACTCGGACACCTATAATCCGATGTGACAGCTCTGGTCCCCTTTACTCCATCTCACCATCCTCACATTCTCACTCGCAAGCTCTCATCTCCACCACTTCTTCTGCCAATCTTTGGCATCGCCGCCTCGGTCATCCCGGAAGCGCAACGCTTCGTTTTTTAATTTCTTCTGGTTTTCTCAAGTGTTCACAACCGATTAAGTTTCCTTTATGCCATAAATGTCAGCTTGGGAAACATACTCGGCAGCCATTTTCTTCTTCAACCACACAAGTTTTCTCTCTTTTTGATATTATTCATTCAGATCTTTAGACTTCGCCAGTCCCTAGTGTTAGTGGAATTCGCTATTATGTAATTTTTTTGGATCAATTTACTCATTTTCTTTGGGTTTATCCTTTACGTCAAAAGAGTGAAGTTTTCACAAAGTTTTTGCATTTTTATCATTTTATTCAAACACAATTTCAGAAAACAATTAAAGCTTTCCAATGTGACAATGGTGGTGAATACACTAGTCGTGAATTTCAAAACTTCATCTCTGCTAATGGCATTCAATCTCGTTTTTCCTGTCCTCATACCTCTCAACAAAACGGACGTGCGGAACGTCCTATTGGGTAGAAGCACTTCATATGGCAACCCATCTCTTTAACATCCTTCCTTCTAGTGCTATCAACAATGAAATCCCTTTCTCTCGTCTCTTTCAAAAACCTGTCACTTATGACCATCTACGTCTTTTTGGTTGTCTGTGCTATCCAAATCTCATTTCTACGTCAAAAGACAAACTATCTCCTAGATCTTCTAAGTGTGTTTTTCTAGGATATCCTGCAACACACCGAGGGTATCGATGTCTTGATCTCCAATCTAAACGTATCATTTTATCACGTCATGTTACATTTGATGAATCTTCTTTTCCCTTTCACAATTCACCAAATGAAACTTCACCACCACCATCATCATCTATCATTTCTTTTTATCCTCCTATTACACATTTTCCAACACAACCATCCCATCCTTCCACCACTCCGTCTACCTCAAACACATTCACTCCATCAATTACAAATTCTTCACATGAACCCTAAAACTCTGTTTTACAACCTTCTTCCTCGGATTCTTTATCACATCCTATTGTTACACAACCCTTTATTCAAAACCAAAATTCCCAGTCAATAACAACAGCTCCTCAATCGCAAAACCCCATATCATCGGCTCTTCCCTCTAAAACAAGGATAACTGTTTCTTCTGCTCCTTCCACCTCTCAATCTACCCCATTGGACCCACCTCGTATTCAAACTCGCAGTCGCAATGTAAATACCCAAAAGAAAGTTATCATTCCTCCTATACAAACTCGCAGTCGCAACGGGATTACCAAAAAGAAAATTATCATTTCTCTACATACAGACGTTATTTCCCCTCTTCCTTTATCTCACGTGCAAACTGCTCATGATCCTAATTGGAATAATGCAATGGATGTTGAGTATGATGCTCAAATTGCAAGTGGCACGTGGACGATAGTTCCACGGCCTCCTAACGCTAATATTGTTCGTTCTATGTGGATATTTTGTCATAAGTTTGATGCAGATGGTCGTTTATCAAGATACAAGGCTCGTCTCGTCGCCAATGGTAAATCTCAACAGATTGGAATTGATTGCGATGAAACTTTCAGTCCCGTAGTCAAGCCTTCAACAATTCGTACGGTTCTTCATGTTGCTGTATCTCGTCAATGGCCGATCCGTCAACTAGACGTCAAAAACGCATTCCTTCACGGAAATCTTGATGAAGTCGTCTACATGCATCAGCCTCCTGGGTTTGTAGATGTCACTCGACCCAACCATGTATGCCTTCTCCACAAGTCGTTATATGGTCTCAAGCAAGCTCCACGTGTTTGGTATCAACGATTTGCTCAATATGCAACTAAAATCGGCTTCAAACAAAGCAAATCAGATGCGTCTCTTTTTGTTTACTCCCGTAGACAAGATCTAGCTTATCTCTTGCTGTACGTCGATGACATTGGTCTCACTGCATCAACACCAACATTATTACGGTCGATCATAACATCTCTTAGCTCTGAATTTTTAATGACTGATTTGGGTGATCTTCACTATTTTCTTGGAATTGGTATAAACAGGAGCAAAGATGGGCTATTTCTCAATCAACAAAACTACGCAGCTGATATTATTCATCGAGCTGGAATGTCAGGATGCAATCCCTGCTCAACACCAGTAGATACATCCTCCAAGCTGGCTGCAGACGCTGGTCCACCAGTCGCAAACCCTACTTTATACCGGAGTCTTGCCGGCGCCCTCCAATACTTGACGTTTACACGTCCGGACATAGCTTATGCTGTACAACAAATCTGCCTTCACATGCATGATCCTCGAGAGCCACATTTCAATGCTCTAAAACGGATCATACGATATATCAAAGGAACGCTTACTCATGGAATTCAAATCACACCAACAAACACCTCCAAAATCACTGCCTATACCGATGCGGACTGGGCTGGTTGTTCTACAACCCGACGATCCACATCAGACTACTGCATCTTTCTCGGAGACAACATAGTATCATGGTCATCTAAACGCCAGCCAACAGTATCTAGAAGCAGCGCCGAAGCAGAGTATCGTGGAGTTGCTAACGCCGTTGCTGAAGCTACCTGGCTCTGAAACCTCCTCTTGGAACTGCATTGTCCCATCAACACTGCTACAATAGTCTATTGTGACAATGTAAGTGCGGTTTATCTTTCGACAAACCCGGTCCAGCATCAACGAACGAAACATGTCGAAATTGACATCCATTTTGTCCGCGAGCGAGTTGCATTAGGACAAGTCCGAGTACTTCATGTTCCTTCAAGTCACCAATATGCAGACATCTTTACTAAAGGCCTCCCAACAGCTCTATTCAGCTCTAATCACACCAGTCTTAAGGTTCACCCTCCTCTCGTTAAGACTGCGGGGGAGTGATAGATAAGAAAATATAATAGAATAGGAATGTAGTATATTTTGTAATTATTATTTAACCGTTGTAATATTACTATATAAACATCAATAGAATAGAGAGAGAGGCACGGATTGTGCTATTCATTATCCAACATAATAAACCCTTTTTGGGTTACCCTACTTAGGTTAACAAACGAGGCTCTGATACCATGTTAAGTTATATGGGTTTCCAATTCAAAACCAATTGGCTATGAGTGGATTGGCCCAAATCTTATATATACTAGTGTTGGTCCTTTTAAACTTCCTATGTGTGATTCCAACAGGCTTCATCGCACAAACACTTGCCCCTTGTGTCGGACTGTTCTCGGAATGTTCTGTACGATTGACGATCGATCACTTGGAACAAATGGGATTGAAAATTAGGGTTTCATCTACTCCTTGCACAACTTGGGTCACACGCTCTCTATATGTTGGGAATCTCTTTATGTAATTTTGCTGTATCGAAGTTGGGAATTGTAGTTTGTGTGTCACACGTATTGTGGACTTAAATGTAATTTTCGGTTTCTATTTTTGTATGAGGGAAGTATTAAATTCCACTTCAATGCCTCGTACTAGATTTGCTTCTTTACGTATTTGGTGCTTTTCAAGTTCATTGTGTAAGAAGATAAGATATACTTTTCCCTGAATGCAAGTCTTTTCTTAGTGTTCCATGATTGCGACTTGTTCTTAGAACTAGAAGCTTGGTGGGCTCATGAGAATCAAAATAAGTTTTCATCAGGTAGTAACCACTCATTTATCAGTAATCTATTGCGTCTCCTTCATCACGAAAAGTGTTGCCACAGTGAAGATCTCAAAACGGAAAAAAGAAAGAAAGACAAAAGACAATGCATCAAAATCTTTGAATAAGATTCCACACAGATTGTTCAACAATCTTCTTCAGTTTCAGAGACCCTACTTATGTCTTATCACGTTAACCAACAGACAAAACATCCATTGTGGTTGGCAAATCCGAATTCAAGAACACAACCATTAACCATGAATTTCCGAAGCGACGTCTCTGCTCTGAGTGAAGACATCATTGTTGAGCGGCTGCTTCGGAGCCATGATCCAGACGGTCGATGGATTGATTCCGAGATGCTGCTTCAAGAAGTCGAAACGATCTTGAGCTTTGTTCTTGAAAATGATGTGAGCTTCTCCGATCACACGAGCTTACAATTCTTCAGAAACTTGTTTAGATTGTCGCCAATAACAATGCCACTGAAATTTTGCAGATTTCTAAGCCGCTTCTGACAGAGAATCGTATGACCAACATTGAAGTTTTTGAATCAAAGGAAACACTACCATACGCGATCTCCAGAATCTCCGTTCAGGTAACAGATCTTCCCTTTCTTCTCAAATCAATTATTGGACCGTATAACTTGAAACTATTGAGGTTGCAGATGCTTTGTCCATGCAAGGGGGGAAATGAGATCCAGACAAGAACATTGGTTTTGTTTGATCATCTGAAAGAATACCGATGGGATGCAAAAGCTGTGTTAGTACTAGGAGCCCTTGCTGCAACATATGGAGGACTATTGCTACCAATTCAACTAGCCTTCAGTGATCCCGTCGCAGCATCAATTGCAACACTCAACCAGTTGCCTACTGAGAAAACCAAGTTTAGACCATGGTCAAACTCTCTAAGCTTGGTTGTTAAAGCTATGGTGGATGTAACCAAATGCATCACTGAGTTTGAAAGACTTCCATTAAGACAAGCGAAGATAGACAACAACATTGTGGGAGAAACCATGTCTAACATCTATTTGGCTACTTACCGAGTTGTCAAAAGTGCACTTGCATGCCTTCAGCAAATCGCTTATTTCAAGCAAATCCAGCAGGTGGATTTTTCCACCCTTTGTTCTATCATTCCTACAAAATGAAAAAAACAAAACAAACATTGAGTTTTCTCATGGCTAGGAATTATCTGAAATACTCAGGCAAAGGAATCAAGGAGAGCAGCAGGTGAACTTTCAAGTTTGGGATATCAGTTAAGGAACATGCATACACGCCTCAACAAGCAGGTAAAAGAATGCAGTTCACAAATAGGTAAGTCTCAAATGTTCTGATGCTAAGTGACAAAGGCACAAAGCAATTCTCATCTGTGATGTTTGATTCTCTATTTCTTTGTCAGAGGAAGAAATCTACCAAAGGCTTAGAAACATTACCACAGAGACTCATCAAGACAACCAAGAGGTACTCCAACTACTTTTTTCTCTACAAGATGATGTGCTACTTCAACAATACTCCAGACAGGTACAAAGAACCATCCTTTTTCTTTTTCCATGTTCCTTCTTTTTCATCTTTTTACTTTAACTTCTCTAATACACACCCCAGCACATTTATGCGGTGCAGTGTGACGTTACCATAAACAAATTCTTTTACCTTGGAAAGATTATTCATTTGATTTAGTACTCTCTATCATGGCAGATAGATATAACAGAGCTCAAAGAAAAGGTAATTCTGCTGCTATTATCAAAGCCAGAGCTCTTACCCATAGAGCCATTTCACTTCCTGCTTCAACAGTTATATGATCATCCATCCAACACCAACACAGAGCAAAACTATGACATCTTATGGCTTCCAATACCACTGTCACAAAACTGGACAGAGGAAGAGAAGGAAACCTTCACTTTCTTCTCCAATTCGCTACCATGGATCTCAGTAAGGCGGCCATGGCTGATGAGCTCCACGGTACTGGATTTTTTAAGAACAGAATGGCCGTACAGAGACGGCGAGACAATGGTGGTGGTGATGGAGTCTAGTGGCAAGGTTGTGAACATGAACGCCATGGATATGGTGTTGATCTGGGGTGTTAGGGCATATCCATTTTCAGTTTCCAGAGAAGATGAGCTTTGGGAAGAAGATGGATGGTCCTTGCAGCTCTTGCTTGATGGCATTCATCCTGCATTTAAGATATGGGTACTCTCAAATTTCCATTCTTTTGATCAGATTGTGAAACCAATAGTACTTCGAAGTTTTCTAACTCTAAGCATCACAGGTGAAAGAAGGGAGAGAAATCTGCATATTCGGAAGCCACGATTCGGAATGGGTGGAGGAAATTACGTCACTAGCACGTAAACTTCAGAATCAAGGGTTCGAGTTCGAGATGATTTACCTCAGTAAACGAATGATAACCTCTGCATCAGCCATGGAAGAGAGCTCCATATTGTTCAGTCCAGCTATACAGCAGCTCTTCTGGCTTCGACTAGAAAGCATCAAACGATCTAAACTCAAGCGAATTGAATCATCGAAACCCGATCGCGTGTTTGAGGAAGTCACCGAACTGCTTGACTTTGATTACGGTAAACAAAAGGGTTGGGCCATCATCGGAAAGGGATCAACGGCGGAGACGGAGAAAATCGTCGGGGAGAAGCTGGTGGAGAGGATGAGGCGGATTCTTCGGTGGGGAGAGTACGCGACGGGGCTGAGTTTTACGGAGGCGATTAAAATCGCGGAGGAGGAGAAGCCCTGTGAACAGAGTCACACGGTGGTGGTTCCGTTTGAGGAAGGTTCGTCGACGATGAGAGTTGTCACGTGCGAGAAATGCAAAAGGCCCATGAAGAAGTTTGTCGCCTATCAGTAACTCAAAGCCCGGTTACTTTAACATTACGGGCCGAATAATATAACTCAAAAGCTTCGTTCCAATAAATTGAGAAATTTCAACTCTGCGTCCTTGTTTTTGACGAATAATATGATTTTTGCCATTTAAATACAAATCATTTACTGGAGATGTACTATTTTGTTGTAATCACAAACTTTGAATCATAATTAAAAACTAGAATGAACAACAAAGCAAAGATTACACTTTTGTTCTTCTCCTCAAAACTTGAAGATTCCTTATTCAAATCCAAATGATTTCTTTCAACTCATTTCACAAATTTTTTTCAAAACATTCCATTATTGAGAGAAGGCAAACAAGTACCAAGAGTGGGGGAAGCATAAAAGGTTCAAAAGATAACTAATCATATCACCATTTCATGTTGCTTGCAAGGTACTCTGGACAAGAACGTAGTCATTTATTTGTTTTGGATTCAGGACCTTCCTTGAGACTTGCTTTCCCACCATTCCATGAACTTAACTTGAGCAGCCATTGTGTCCAGCTTGTAGAGTTGCAGCGTGTGGTTCGCGACTTCTTGCCCAAAGGTCCAACCAAAAACACCTCCTCCTAAGAATGACAATGCAGCACCTGTCCACATAACAAAAGAGTCAGTTCAGTATTTGGTAACATGTTAGCCCCCATGAGAAGTGCAGTAACAAACACTTTCCAAGCTTTATCAATAAGTGCAGTATCAATAGCCCCTGCGTTTGAAGAAGGTGTGAGGTTTATAAAGATTGAAAAAGTGATTCACACGTCTCTTACCATGTGGACTCCTAGAGTATTTCCAGGCAAAAGCAGCAGTAGATAGAGCTCCAAGCGCAGCTCCAGTAGCACCAAAAGTCGCAGCTTCCCTAGCAGTTTTCAGCTGGAAAAGGATGAAACACACACAATGTTAGCCAAAGGACCAACACTAAGTCTAAATATTCAGTGAGAATATGGGCTGAAACTGAGCAAAAATTTCAAAGAAAAGGGTACATGAAACTCGATACAACTAGATTCCCCAATGCTTATCACATTCTTTCCTACTCAATTTAACTCTGAAACTCAAGCTTCATCTCTCTCCTACTCTGATCAGAGTTTCATACAGCCAATATCTTAAAGATGAAAGTAAAATTTCATGGCTACAAAGTTATGCAAAACAAATCACCACAACGTCTCTTTGAACTTCAATGATTGGAATGATAATATCTATTCATGCCTGATAAATTCACAAGCTGAGAATCAAAAGTCCAGATTTTTTGCTAGTTTAAACGTCAACCCACGATGATTCAATCTGTGATTCCTAGATCTAAGCCAAAATCCTAACCTAGTCATCACTGATTTCTCCAAAAATTGTCATATCACAAACAAACAGAACCTCGTAACCGAAACCAAATGAAAGAAGTTGAAGATAAAATCGCGAGATAAGGAGTGAATCTGGAGCCATAGAAAATGGATCAAACATGGAATCAGAGAGAGAGGGAGGGAAATACGGTGGGTCCATGGACGGGATCGGAGGCAATGAAGTCGTCGACGTCGGAGGAAGACCAAGAAGGAAGAGGCGTGTCGCGTTTGGTGAACCTCGTGTAGTTTTCCAGGAAAGAGAGCCTCTCGCACCAGAAACCCTTGAATCCATTCCAATATCCGCCAACAAATGACTCCGACGAATCTCCCATCTTTCTCAGATCGAAATGAGTTCCCCTAGAAATTTCTCAGCATGTATTAGACTTTGGGAATTGATTGGATACCGGTTTGGTTAAACCATGTAATTATGATCGGCATTGGTTCCTTGTAGATAAACCGGAGTTATGAAATGAGAAATTAGTGAGTCAGTGAAAGTAATTAAAACAAAATGAGATTAAAAAAAGAAAGAATGTTAAATATATCTGATCCTAACGACACGTGGCATTTTCACGACGAGCTGGCTTAGACGAGCCAATCTACGCTTGTAAATGTATAACACAGTTCACATGATGTGTATCTGCCCGCACTAGATCTTTACCCCCACTACACCAACATCAAAGGGCATCATCCCGATCTACGACTCTTCTCTGTTCTGTACGACGCCGAGAAAGCAACGGCGAGAGAAGATTAGCCGAAAAAAATGGTGAAGGTTCTGACTTACTTCGGGATGACATTGGCCGCTTTCGCCTTCTGGCAGTCCATGGACAAAGTTCATGTCTGGATCGCTCTTCATCAAGACGAGAAGGTTTCATCTTCTTCCCCGAGTCATCTCTCTCTTTTCCTCTTCTGCAAAACTGAAATCTGACTCATTTTTTCATTATTTTGGCATTCAATTGTATGAATTTCTCCGAGATGATTTGAAACCGGATTTGGGATGGAATTTGTCATCGAATTTCTGGGTCTTTTGTTCGTTTCCCAATATGAAGAACCATTTTCCTCGATTCAAAAGGACAATTTTTAATGTTGATTTGATGATAGAACTCCATGGAACCTTGGTTCTGTTCGGTTCAAAGTTTATATACATCATAACTAGTTGTTCTTGAGAAGCTATACCATGATTAGCACTTTCCTTTGGCTCAATACTAAGTTATGGAATGTTGGATTTTGGAGATGCTATATGTTTCGTTTGACATTTGGTTTACATTTGGTTTTTACCTGTCTTTGGTTTTGTTTACTTCCATTTGTGATTCACTTTTGCTGTGAAAGCACAAATAGAGATTGTGATGAGATGAAACAGCTCATTGCTATTTTTCTCTTGGGTTTTAAGTAATAATCTGATAACTAAAAACTCGTAATCAATGTGCAGCAAGAAAGAATGGAGAAGGAAGCGGAGGTAAAGCGGGTTAGAGCAGAGCTGCTGCGGAAGGCTAGAGAGGAGGATCCTCTTGCTTGAATCTTCTTCAGATCATATCAATTCACAATTTCTTCTTCTTGACATTTTTATCACTGTTATGGACCAAAAATGGAGTTTGCATAGTACCATATATGCTTTTGAATGTGGGATGATCATGAATAATGGCGTCTATGTTGTTCTTCTGAACTAATGAAATACTAGCGGAGAAGTATCAGCCTCTTGTTCTGCTTTTTCTTTTCCTCAACCTGGTGATGTAATTGTGTATCACATGGATTTAAGTGTTCATGCACAAGTCAAGGAGGTTTTCAGATGTTAGATCCAGTTTCTGATTCGTTTTGGCTAACTAAGTAGAGAAACCACTGGTCAAATTTTGAAATGGAGTAAACAAGTTTAATTGGGAAGAGTTTATTCAGTTTCGATATCGGTTTTTCAGGTTTTGCAAAATGGCAGCTTTAGAGTCCAATTCCTCTTAATCTTACTTTCAATATTGTCATTTTTTCATCAACCAAAGTGCAAAGAGGTTTCGTCAAATACTGCGTCAAGGAGATTAGTATTCGACCATGACGGTACAGCCAAGTGACTGACCATCGAGAGAGGCCGAGGCGTTTTAACAACAATGACAGTACTGGAACCTATTACCTATGCAACGTGGAACGAAATAACGTTTATTGTTGGTTAGAAATGAAGAAAACGCTTTAAACAAAAAGGAAAGTGATATACTTAAGAGGAAATATTTTGACCACTTCTTTAAACTAGAGAAAAAGTTTACTCTTTTGTTTTGGTTTTTCCAGTAAATGTGATATGTATATGGTTGTGCTCCAGCCTCCATTATCGGAATATATTTACGTCTCATTCACAAGAACATATCCATGTGTTTTCAAATTTTGTAACAAGAAATTGCAGATTATTACGCTATTAAATCTCTTGTCAGCAAGAGATTATATAGAACGAGCTAAATTTACATAAAATAATTTTGCTATAAATTTTTTGACAAGATATATGACAAGATAGAATAAACTAAAAAGAGTCTAAGATGACGGTACGTTTATTTGATGCATCAGTGCATAGGCAGACACCATTTACAGAGAAAAAATTGAATTCATAATAATAGCCTTAAAACTCTATGATTTCTTTTCTTTTGATCAACTTAAAAAAAATTACTATAGTATTTAGTATATTATCAAGTGGCTAAAACAACTTCAAAGACCATAAAGTATGACAAGAAAGTTTGCATTTTGTATAAGTAATTGAAAATTAGAGAGGAAAGAACAGAAGGAAATTGGCTTTAGCTTTGTACAATCATTTTTGTCGACTTTTTGTAGTACAACCTTAATTTTGATGAAAAAAGGTTTCTACATTGCATTTTGTACAACATTAATTTTGTTTTCTAATAAGAAATTCCAAACACTTCATAACAAAAGTTGCAACCATTTAACTAAATGATGTTTTTTTTTGTTCAAATTAACTAAATGATGTTTATACATAAAAACATCCAAACAAACCAAAAAGAAAAAAAAAAATCGAAGAAAAAAGGAAAATAAAGAGTGTTTATTTATACATAAAACATCCAAACAAACCCAAAAGAAAATAAGAAAAATGTTTAACAAAAAAAAAAAAAAAAATGAAGAGTGATGACAGAGAAGATGAAAAGACATGGTTACAGGCTTACAGCTGAGCTATATTTATATAGATCGCCGCGTAAAAGCCGAAACCATCATTAATTCACTACTGTTTTGCTTTCGTCATCTCAAAACGCCGCCGTTTTCGATTCTCTCACCGAAACAAACAACCATCACTTCCATCAATCTTCTTGTCGGAAAGACGAACAAGATATGTCGGTTTCATCTCGAGAGTGACAGCTATCTTCCACTGGTTTATCCCTAAAGGCAACAACAACAGAGGTTGGCTCCGTCAGCAACAGCCCGTCACGCGGCGGCGAGAACATAACCGGCATGCACTTCTCCATTTCCACTCCAGGCAGCCTCGAGTTCTTGAAGTGTTCCTTCAACGACTCAACTCCCTTTCCAATAATTTAAAAAAAAAAACCAACTTTCTTATTTTAATAAACTTAAAATGTAAAATTAAATGTAAAATCAACTAAAGATTGAATCTTTTTCCTTTACCTGGAGTCGAGCATAAGTGACCTCACAAATCTTTTTAGATCTGAAGGCTCCCCATTGTTGATGGTGAAAGGCTTTGTAAAGCCTCCACAGTGCTTCAGGAGTTGTCATGTTCACAAACCCATATCCCACATTGCATTGGTTGCTTATTAAAAAAAGTTAATTAGTCCATTTGATCAGTATTATCTTACTCTTCTAATCAAATAAAGATTGAGAGTGATAATATAATTATTTACCTGAAATCGATAGGAAGGTAGACGAAATCATATGACGACATAGGCGTGTTCTTCCCTTCGCTGATTATCTTTTGGTTACAGTCATTACAATGTGTGTCAAGCATATTCAAAAACAGCTTCTGCCTGTAAAATGGAAAAACCAAAATTATGCAAAAAAATTGACTAGTCGAAAATTTGTAATCTCTCATGGGGTCATAAAGTATATACAAAAATAGTAAACATATAGTCATAAGCTCAGGACTATATCCGGAGGTTCTTGTTGACTTTCGTCAAACCAAAAGTAAAAACAGAAACAAAGCATTTCCTCGTTTTGGGACATATATCGTCCGAAGAGCACATGCCCATCACAATCACAGAGTAATATTAATGAAAGAGACGCATTTATGCTTACGTGTACTTGTTTGGGATGTTTTTGATCATCACGGTGGTACGGTCGTCCCTAGACTCGGCGGCGAAAATGGCGTCTTCGTTTATGGTGAAGTAACCATCATCATCGCTAGGTTTCTTCTTACTATACCGTTTCACATTGTTAATGTTCTTCTGTTGTTGCTCGTATCGTTGATGATTCAGGTTGAAAGACTTCACCTTTACCGGTTCTCTTCTTGCGAACTGACCAGTCGGATAAGCTATCCGGCGATGACAGTGCGGCGGTGAAGGCGGTGGTGGGTGATGGTGGTGGTTGAAGAGGGAGCTTTTATTGAAACGTGAAGAGAAGAAGTGCTTTCTGTTACAACCACCGGGACGGCTAAATTGGATTATGATTTGTTTCCCGGCGATATCTTTTCCGTTCATCTCATGGAGAGCTAATGCGGCGTCTCTCACGTCGAAATACTCAACGAATCTCTGTTCTCTCTTGAACGGCGTCTCTCTCACCTCCTTCACTTCCCCTACAAAATAATTTTATTCGACCAATTAAAATCGGTAGAAAAGAACATTGGGTGTAATAAAATTACAGAATCTTGTAATAAAGTTGGAATCTTTAAATAAAGTTGGGAGCTTTATTTACCATAAACCTGGAAAATGCGACGGAGAGTTGTGCAAGAGACGGTGGGTACCAAATTCATAATCACTAGCGACCCTTGATTGCTCCCTTCGGGAACCGCCGTGAGTTGCGGAAACACGAAATGAACACACACGATTCGTCCGGAGACGAGTCCACGCGCCGCCGTGTAACCATGACCAAAACGGACCTGTTCTTGATGCATGTGGCGCTCGCGTATCTCCCTCAGTGCTCTTTCTGAGTGTCTCAGATTGTAGAAATGGACGGTCACGATTCCTTCATCTGCTCTCTCCATTTGGACTCCACGCACCTCACCGAACACCTCCAGGTCTCGCCGGATAGATGATTCACTGACGTCGGCGGGCACCGGAAACAGCACCAAGGCTCTTGTCGGGGTTAAAGATGGCGGGGGAAGATGAGGAGGAGGAGAGGGAGAAGGAAAAGTTCCGGCGAAGTTAGGGGGAAAACGAAGGAAAGACGGTGGTGGAGGAGGAGGAAGAGGGAGGTAGATTCTGGTCGGAACAAAGAAGGGAGTCGGGTGTAGGTTAGCCGGTAAGAACTCCGGCGCTGATGGGTTGAGGTTTCCCGGGTAACCGGCGACTGACATGGCGGTTTAACGGGAGGAACGTGAGGAGTTTAATAACTGGTTTTGCCGGTGACCGGTAACAGCTACTTTTGTACTGATGGACGCTTGATTTTCTTCAGTGATCGTACTCTGTCTCTCTCCTCTTTGTTGTAGTTGTAGGGAGGAAGAGCAAAAGTGGAATTTTCAGTTTTGTTTTTATGCTGCAGAGATTTTCAATATAATTTCTATTTCTAATACATTTTACCAACAAAAGTCAAGGCTCTTTTATCCAATGGTGTACCAACTCATACTGTAATTTACCAGATTGCCCTTTGAGAAGATGTCATTGCTGCTCAAGAGAAAATGGCTAAAATTGTAAAATGATTGGAAAAGATAGTGATATGTAAAAAAATTACAGTTCAAAAAATGTCTTTTATAGATAGGCAATATATTTTTTTTCTTATTCAAAATTTGTTTATTGACGATGTGATACTACAGACATGATCTAGAATGATTATGCCACAGTAATTATTTTCTGAAATGCAAATCAATATCTCGTGAATTGATGGTAATGATGATTATCTAAAGACATGTAAATTCTTCTGTTATTATCTTATCGTTTCGTTCTTTTCCATAAACTCTTCATCTTCAAAAAAAAAATTATTAGGTGAGAAACTTTATTGCTTGAAAATAGATGAATGTGAGAAACAAAACCGCGAGGGAGCAAACCTATGTCACATTCAAGATAGATGTTCTACCTGGACATGTCTTCCTCGTCTCATCCTATGAACCCTACTCTTGCAGCATGATTATAGTCAAAACAGTTACTACTAAGAACTTAAGAAAAAAGACAAAAAGTTTGTCCTTGAGATTACTTTTTAACGTTCAAGTTATAAAGATTCAACTTGACTATGCGGAAAACATATTTCTAGACGGAAGATAAGAGTTATTGTTACGAATCTTAGCCGAAATCGATCTAAGATCCAATTTGATATCTAGTGAAAAGGGTTCAATAAAAAAATCATTCGTCATAGTGAGTTTGGAACTCTCTGGTAGACATTTGAGTTCATCAAGACTCAAGAGTTTTGAAGGGATCAACGTGTTTACTTTTTAATAAACTAACAAATAAATTGTTTTCATGTTTCCATTTATCACATTTTCTAATTTCATGCAACCAAGTCATCTCTTAGACACTGTTAGTTTACGTGTTAATGTGATTGTAATAGGTGCAGAAACGCACACAAACTACTTAGTTTTTGTCTTTTTGATCTCTCAAATCAGCACATAATCGAAGGTGATTAGGGATCAACCACCAACAGTTAATGACATTAATCGAGCTTATTAACCAGTTAACCAGACATATTTAAGAACCAATTTTCAACGCCATGTGTAACAAACATATTACAAAAAAAATAAATTACGGCACTTTTAAAATGATTAAAAGGAGAAATGAACCTAGAGAAACCTAGATTTTAAAACCGAGAACACAGTTTCCAATTAATTGGGTGCCATGATTTACAATAATAATATAGAATTTGGATTCGCATATATATATAGCTCTCGTATTGTCGTGTTACCCATTTTCACCGCAAAAGTTCATGGGCCAATTTGTCGTGTATCTCCATCGTAACACAAACAAACTATCTACCAGCAGCCTATATATATTCTCTTAAGTACAAATTCAGTTTGTATAGTTATGTTTCACAAATGTATTATGTATAGTGTTGTAAAACAGCATTACCTATTCACCTAAAAACAACGAATAAATCGAAAAAACAATAACGATACAACAACTTACAATCAAAATGTGGTTTAGAATGTACAGTTAATAGTAATTCAATCATAAGTGCAAAGTATAGAACAATGAAATTAGCGTTTGAAACATTCAAGATTTAGATGAACTCTGAACCAGGTATAAACTAATTATGATAAACATATAAAAATAATATCCTAAAAAAAAATCAACTAATGCAAACAAAATGCATCTGTATTCATTTGACATATCTCATCAATCATCATCATCTACGGAAAACAATGTTTTATCAACAAAACTAACATATAAGTTTAGATTGATTATTTTAAACAAACAAACATATAAGAATAATATTCTTAAAATATTTCAATCATATATAGATGAATTCTAAATTTGAAATAAATTATAAATTAGGATAAAACATATAAGAAGAATATTCTTGAAATATTTCAATCAATTTACCAACTATTCCAAGAATTAGGATGCAAATAAAACAAGATGGTTATCATCCGACCATACTAAGGAAAGGAAAATATCACAATCAGTCTTAACAAAGAATGACCAACAGATGGCCGAATTAAGTAACCAAAATGCAGAACTGTCACATATTTCATAATCTAACACAAAACAAAAGTATACAACAAACAATGTTACCAACAAAAGTAACATCAAAACTCAAACTGTCCATTTTAAACAAACAAACAACAATGAAAATGTTTTTCTTGAAAGGTGCAAGATATAGATATACTGAAAAGTTTTTAACTCTCTCCACTAAAGAGTCTAAGAAATGGAGATGGTAATATTGAAATTTAGATATGTGCTATCAAACATAGAAATATCCATTTCACATTTTAAATAAATACACCACTAAGTTAATAGATTTCTAAGCTCCATCAACTCTGTTAAGCCGAAGAGAGCAAGTGACGAAAAACATAAGTAACCATAACAGAGAGAGATATTTACAATCATTGTATTGTAAACCACTCAATCAACATGTACAATTTATAACAACTAACACAATACAAACATAAAAACAGATACATTAAAGATTCAAGGAAACTTTTATCATGCAAGAGACTCTAAAATATAACATCAAAACAGAGAACTTTCTAGTCAACGAGAGATAAATATATACATTCTAGGTTCAAAGAAGCTACTACCATAATCTGCAAGAGTCTCTCTTCCATTAAAATAAATATCTACAAGACTTCAAGACATTTCATGAAAAGAATACAAACATCAAAACAGAGATAATAAGTATTTTCTAGTCAAAGAGAGAGATATATATATACATTCTTCAAAGAAACTACTATCATAATCCGCAAGAATCTCTTATACATTCAAAAATATCTATAGAGACCCTCCGATATATACATTTCACAAAAATGTAACGTACCAATACCAAATGTAGAATCAACTCTTCTATCAATGGATATTAGCAATACAATCCCATTATATCAAAGATGATAATCATATTGTAAAGACAGCTACATAAGACATAGTTTTTTATAATTATAAACGACACTTAGAAGTTAAAACTGAATTTTTTAGTTTCCCTTAGTTTTTGTTTTCTTTTCTATGTGCTAATATCAATGTATCAAGAAAAGGCTAGTATATCAAATACCTGATCACAAAACTTTGCTGACACTTCGAAATTTCTTTGGTGTCCATGACAAAAACACATACATGAGAAAATCAACATTAGTCTTTATAGATCAAGCTGTTACAGAAATAAGCTAAGAACACTTATGAATCTCCTCATATTTTGGATGCTTATTTAAGCACCTGACCTGTAGGAATCAAGATTAGTCTTCACATATATTTCTTATAATTGTAGATTTGTCAAACCAATTACAAGCAAGTTTTTAGAAGCACAAACCTGTCACGGAACTCTGCAATACTTGAAATCTCGGCAGAGTCTGAAACATAAACCTGGAAGAAGAAAAAAAAACAGAATTAGTTTAGTCTTGACTTCACGTAGATTTTCTATATATCCATCCAACTCATAGTCTTTGGTTATCGTACCGAAACGATTGGTTGGTCTTCTTTAAGCCATTAGTCATTTTCTTTCCCATCCTACAAATCGAAACCGATATATAGTCTTTGTCAAGAATCTTTAACCTTATATTTTCTTTAAGCCGTTGGTATATTTTTTCCATACACCAAGTCGTTAGTCGTTTTTACCATCTAACAGGTTTCAAATGATCCATAATCTTTGTCAAGAGTATTTTACGAATTATTTTTTCCTTACCACCAAATCGTTAGTTGTTTTTACAGGTCTGAATTGATCCATAGTCTTTGTCTAGAGACCTATAAGCCGTGATCTTGGTCAAGAGTCTTGGCCTTACGAATTATTTTTTCCATACAGCAGCAAATCGTTGGTTGTTTTTACCATCTAACAAGTCTAAAATGATCCATCATAGTCTTTTTTTTTTCAGCGCCATTGGTGGTTCTATCCATCCAAACTCATAGCCTTCTTCTACTTTTAAGCCTTGTGGTTATTGCATAGACATAGTTCTCAGTTCTGTCTTTGTCGACCTTTAAGCCTTGCGGGTCATTTTCTTTCCATCCATCATGCCCCATTGTCTTTGTCAAAAAAACTTGTCTCTGCCTTTAGAGTTTTTGTAAGCAGTGGATAGTGGAAGTGGGGGATCTGTTTTCAATCCAAAGTCTTTGCCTTAAGACCTTCTTAATCCCTTTGGTATCTTCCAATTCATAGTCTAAAGACTTTCAAGCCGTAGGTAGTAAAGTGAGGCATCTGATTGTAATTCATACCTGTGTGAAACCAACCAATTTGTTTCGCCTTTAGAGTTTTTGTAAGTATCTTCCAATTCATAGTGTCTTTGAACTGAGACAATCCCTCGTCATCTCCCAGTTCAATCTTTGTGTGTAGTAAAGGGGGAGGCTGTTTTCAATTAATAGTCTTTGCCTTAAACTGTCGTAATCCCTCGTTATCTTCCAGTTCATAGTCTTTTTTGTTTGGCCTTTAAGTCTTTGTCTAAAGACTCTTGACCATGAATATTTAACTAAGGCATCTGTTTAGAGATTTTTAAGCCGTGGGTTGTACTAAACTGAGGCATCTGTTTAGAGGTTTTTAAGCCGTGCAGCAAATCGTTGGTTGTTTTGACCATCTGACAAGTCTAAAATGATCCATCATAGTCTTTGTCTTTTCAGCGCCATTGGTGGTTCTATCCATCAAAACTCATAGTCTTCTTCTACATTTCAGCCTTGTGGTTATCGCATAGACATAGTTCTCTGTTCTGTCTTTGTCGACTTTTAAGCCTTGCGGGTCATTTTCTTTCCATCTATCATGCCCCATTGTCTTTGTCAAAAAAATTTGTCTTTGCCTTTACAGTTTTTGTAAGCCGTGGAGTGGGGAATCTGTTATCTTCTTAATCCCTTCGTTATCTTCCAATTCATGGTCTTTGCCTAAGTAGACTTTTAAGCCGTAGGTAGTAAAGTGAGGCATCTGATTGTAATTAATAGTCTTTGTCTTCAGACTTTCTTAATCCCTCGTTAAGTTCCAGTTCAGAGTCTTTTTTTTTGGCCTTTTAAGTCTTTGTCTAAAGACTCTTGACCATGAATATTTTAACTAAGGCATCTGTTTAGAGATTTTTAAGCCGTCGATAGTAAACTGAGGCATCTGTTTAGAGGTTTTTAAGCCGTCGATAGTAAACTGAGGCATCCGTTTCAATTCATAGTCCCTCGTAACTTTCTTAATTCCTTGTTATCTATCCAACTTAGAGACTTTTATAAGCCGTGGGTGATAAGTAAAGTCTTTTGCCTTAATACTTTCGTAATCCCTCGTTATCCTCAGTCTTTTGCCTTAAGACTTTCGTTGTTCAATTCGTAGTGTCTTTGTTTAGAGATTTTTAAGCCGTCGATAGTAAACTGAGGCCTCCGTTTCAATTAATAGCCCCTTGTGACTTTCTTAATTCCTTGTTATCTATCCAATCCATAGTCTTTTGTTTAGAGACTTTTTTTTAAGCCGTGGGTGATTAGTAAAGCGGGGCATCTGTTTCAATGCAGAGTCTTTTGCCTTAATAAGACTTTCGTAATCCCTCATTATCCTCAGTCTTTTGCCTCAAGACTGTCGTAATCCATCGTTGTTCAATTCGTAGTGTCTTTGTTTAGAGATTTTTAAGCCGTCGATAGTAAACTGAGGCATCCGTTTCAGTTCATAGCCCCTTGTGACTTTCTTAATTCCTTGTTATCTATCCAATCCATAGTCTTTTGTCTAGAGACTTTTAAGCCGTGGGTGATTAGTAAAGTGACGCATCTGTTTTTCAGTTCTTAATCCCTCGTTATCTTCCAGTTCAGTCTTTGCCAGAGACTTATAAGTTTTTCAATCCATTCTTCCTCTTACATGCACCAACCAACCCATATATCCATCGTTATACATTCTTCATTTGCCTTAAAGACTTTCTTAATCCCTCGTTAACTTAGTCTTTCTTTGCCCTTAGTCTTTTGTCTAGAGACTTTTAAGCCGTGGGTTGTAGTAAAGAGAGGCATCTGTTTTCAATCCAGAGTCTCTGCCTTAAGACTTTCGTAATCCCTCGTTATCCTCAGTCTTTTGCCTTAAGACTTTCGTAATCCCTCGTTATCCTCAGTCTTTTGCCTTAAGACTTTCGTAATCCCTCGTTATCCTCAGTCTTTTGCCTTAAGACTTTCATAATCCCTCGTTATCCTCAGTCTTTTTGCCTTAAGACTTTCGTAATCCCTCGTTATCCTCAGTCTTTGTCTAGAGACAGTCTTTCTTATGCATGCACCACCAAGTACCAACCCATACGGGACAATGTTCCCAAATAAGAATCTCACAGAACACTATTAGATTAGTGTCTGCTTATGATCTTTTTTGGGGTTTAAAGGAAAAACAAAAAAACGTTTCCAAACAAAACCAAAAGTGTACATAATCACTTGAGTTTGACCAAACCAAAAAAAAAACTGAAGGCTTTGAAACCTTCTTAAAAAGAGGAGTTTTTGTTCTTGTAAAAAGGTATCCTGTTTTCAAAACCACAAGAATCCATAGGACATTAGAAGAATGTCTACCTAATCTCTTGGGTTTGATCAAACCACACACAATAAACAAACGGCTTTGAAATCTTCTTAAAAAAACAAAAGGAATCTTTGTTCTTGTAAAAAGGTATCCTTATTTCAAAACCACAGAACATCATCGATGTCATTTTCTTAAATGAAGATAGAATCTCACATCAGATGTGTATGTCCTTGTTTGACTCCATCCTCAAAGACAGAAAATTCACGAAAACAAAGCCTGCGATAAATTTAACAGATACCAACGAACGAGAAACTTTAGCATTATAGGCAGAGAACTTACCAGTTTCACTGCAAACTCAAGCTTCTACGTATCTTCCAAAAAAACATTAACCAAGATCACTGCAAATAAAATAAACTTTGAGAGATTAGCAAATTTGACAACCCCAAAACAAAATCACAATCAATATTAAGAATGATTACACCGAAACATAGAAATATGGAAGCCTATATAAGGCAAAGCTCCTGCAGCAATATACGCCAAAACAAAAGCATCTATACACGAGAATATATTCCAAGCGATACTATCCATTTGGTCAAACCAAAACCATGTTCAACACAAAGCCATTTGGATATAAACACAAAAAAAAAGCTATGAAATGTAGTAGAGATAGGGATCTTCCCACCAGAATCAGTAGTAACAGAGAAAGGGATGGTTTTTTATTTTGTCACATATCTCAAAGAATTGTTGAAAGATGGATAAAGAGAATTTTCGGTTAAAGAAAACACATACAGACAAATACAGTTTTAATTGATAAACATGATTAATTCCAGAAACAAATGCACTAGCAGATGATACATTGATTTCACGAAACTTAGAGACATACCTCGACGAGGAGCGAGAAACCCAACCAAGATCGGTCGGTTTCAGGCGGAATCAAGCTTCAAAAGGAAACTGTAATCAAGATCGCTACCAAAAAGAAAGGGAAAACTTGAACAATTAGAAAACTTTGAAACAAAATTGCAAATCAAAGATTATATGAAACTCAGAGATCGTCAAACAAATTAACGAATTACAAGAGCGAATCGCTTACTGATCTAAGAATATATCCGGATTTTCCGTTTTTGCAATACTTCTAAGAGTCGATCGAGAGATTCTTCAAAGAAAAGAAAGAGATAACCAGGGAAAATTTGGGGAAATGTATAAAAAGAAAAAACAAGATTTGAGAAGAATTGTGGATTATTAAAAATAAATTGGGAAGAAAATGATTGGGCTTTGATGTATCTCTTGCGTTTCCTAACGGTTCTATTTTAAAACGGGAAGACTCGATTTATTTGAAATCGAACCAGTCCTGCATTTTCAGAGAGGAACCATAACCGAACCGGTCTTATAATTTCCCACCTAAACCGAACCGGTCTTGCGTTTTTCATACGATTTTTCGTAAACACCGGCGTTTTGATGTCTTCGTAGTTTCCGCTTCTCGACGCCGTTTCCGCTTATCGGATCTGGGCCTAGAGCCCACGCAGGCCATTTTAGCTCTTTTAATCATTTTGATTTACGAATCTCTCTCTCACTAGCTGTGTGATTTAGGGTTTTACACTGAACAAGATCCATCCCCGTTTTGCTCTCTCCTTCTAGCTCCTTCCCTTTTTGCCATTTGAACCGAGATCTGTAGCGGACCACCGCGGAGTGTTAAGGCTCCGAGATGGCGCTGGCTTTCGATGAGTATGGCCGGCCGTTCATCATTTTGAGAGAGCAGGATCAGAAGACTCGTCTTAAAGGCATCGATGCTCAGAAGGCCAACATTGCCGCCGGAAAAGCTGTGGCTCGGATCCTCCGCTCCTCTCTCGGTCCAAAGGGCATGGACAAAATGCTTCAAGGACCCGACGGAGACGTCACCATCAGTTAGTTTTCTTCAATTTTGATTCGATTTTTTTTTTTTTTGATGCGAATGCTGCTTCGTAAGACCCTTTGTGTATAACCCTGTTTGTTTGTTGTTTCATCAGCAAACGACGGTGCAACGATCTTGGAGCAGATGGATGTGGACAATCAGATTGCTAAATTGATGGTAGAGCTATCCAGGAGCCAGGACTATGAGATCGGCGATGGCACAACAGGTGTTGTTGTCGTCGCTGGTGCGCTTCTCGAGCAGGCTGAACGTCAATTGGATAGAGGGATCCATCCAATTCGTATCGCTGAAGGATACGAAATGGCTTCTAGAGTCGCTGTTGAGCACTTGGAGCGAATCTCTCAGAAGTTTGAGTTCGATGCTGATAACTTCGAGTCTCTTGTTCAAACTTGCATGACTACTCTATCCTCAAAGATGTAATTTTTCTTTCAGGATTGCTTGCCTTATTGTCTACTTCGATATTTAAATGGCTTTTAGAGATTTGTCCTTAGCTTTTTTGTTCTTGCTTTGTGCTGCAGTGTGAATCGATGTAAGCGCAGTTTAGCTGAAATTGCTGTGAAGGCTGTTCTTGCCGTTGCTGATTTAGAGAGGAAAGATGTTAATTTGGATTTGATTAAGGTAGAAGGGAAAGTTGGCGGTAAGCTTGAGGACACTGAGCTTATATATGGGATTTTGGTCGACAAAGACATGAGCCATCCGCAAATGCCAAAGCAAATCGCAGATGCCAACATTGCTATCTTGACTTGCCCCTTTGAGCCACCGAAGCCGAAGACAAAGCATAAGGTGGACATTGACACAGTGGAGAAGTTTGAGACTTTGCGCAAGCAAGAACAGCAGTATTTTGACGAGATGGTGCAAAAGTGCAAGGTAGGTGATTAACTTTTGAGGGTCTCAGTGTAACTGTATCTTCTTAATTCATGGTCAATTACCTGTTAAGCTACCTAAGATTGTATGTCCTTATCTCATCACAATGCATTTCTTTTTTTGTTTGTGATTATAATCTCTATGCCTATTAATTGCAGGATGTTGGTGCTACACTGGTTATTTGTCAATGGGGTTTCGATGATGAGGCAAATCATCTACTGATGCACAGGAACTTACCAGCTGTCAGATGGGTTGGGGGTGTTGAGTTAGAGCTTATCGCCATTGCCACGGGTGAGTTTGTAGTTCCAAGCAGCAATTGCTATTGTTCCTTCTGTAGTAACCTGCCTTGAACTATAGCTTATTTCGAATGTCTCAAGCACTTATCTGGAGCTTATGTATGTATCTTTTGTAGGTGGGAGAATTGTTCCGAGATTCCAGGAGTTGACCCCAGAGAAGTTAGGGAAGGTATGATTACTTTCAGTAGGAGTCAATATTAACGTATTGGCCATTATAAAACATGTTCCCTCATGTTATTGATTTTCGTGCTTCATCATGTGTTTAGGCTGGTTTGGTTCGCGAGAAGTCATTTGGCACAACGAAAGAACGAATGCTGTATATTGAGCATTGTGCAAATTCAAAAGCTGTTACCATATTCATTCGTGGAGGTACGTGCATGGGACTGATCCTTTTTCTCTGTCTCCTCTTACAATTACTATTGTGTTGTGTCTGTAAAGGAGGTGACTAGTTGATACGTAATGAAGATATGACTGTACTGGATGTTGTAGAATTAACTGGTTGGACAATTTGTTTTGCCATGTGGCAGGTAACAAAATGATGATCGAAGAAACAAAACGCAGTATCCACGATGCTTTGTGCGTGGCACGGAATCTCATCCGCAGCAATTCAATCGTCTATGGTGGTGGTGCAGCTGAGATTGCCTGCTCACTTGCTGTTGACGCAGCTGCTGATAAATACCCTGGTGTTGAACAGGTGAGCCATATCTCTACGCTCTCTCTCTCTCTCTCTCGGGTATATTCACAAGCTCAAGTGCTTAAGACATAGTGGTTTCTATATGCAGTATGCAATTAGGGCGTTCGCAGAAGCCTTGGACTCTGTCCCTATGGCTCTTGCAGAGAACAGTGGGTTGCAGCCCATCGAGACACTCTCAGCTGTAAAATCTCAGCAAATTAAGGTAAGTTATTGATTAGTTTCGTCTTGTCACTACTTAATATTGGCTTATTACTGGGAAACAATGGATTGTTTTGTTGGTTGGAATATACAGGAGAACATTCCATTCTACGGGATAGATTGCAACGACGTAGGAACAAACGATATGAGAGAGCAAAACGTGTTCGAAACGCTGATAGGGAAGCAGCAGCAGATCTTGCTTGCAACACAAGTAGTTAAGATGATTCTCAAGATCGATGACGTTATCTCCCCATCTGAATTCTGATGATGTTCTCTCTTTCTCTCTCAGTTTCTTTTTTCCGCAAGCGTATTTATTATGTAAGAACATACCACAGATCATTTTCTCACTGTGGTTAACATGTGCTGATTTTGATTTAATCCAGATTGCGTTTTTGTGACATTCGAAGACTTTTAGTGTATTGATTTAGTTGCTGAGTTTTTGGTCCCTCATGTACAAGTAAAAACCATTCAAAGCGAAGAACATTTATGAGTAACAAAATAGAAGTGTTGGTTGGTTGTAGATGAACACAGGTCCTAACATTAATGAAGCTGAGAGGAATCATTGGTGTGTAACGTTTTATTAGTAAAGATTTTTTGGTGGGTCGTTTCCTAAATTTTACTAGCTTGAAAGTCAAATAACGTTCTGTACCTTTTGTCTTCTGCCGACAATGTTTGATGAAACTTTCTTTGTTTGTTTGGTTAAAACCAAATTTTGATAATTTGGATCTTAGTAGTGTTACGCGTGAATGAAAGAAGAAAGAAAACTGTGAAGAGTGTGTAAGCTAAATTAAATTTGGATTGAGATATATTTGAAGTGAAACATTTGACTCTTCTGTTTGTTTCTTCTTTTACATGGAAACAAGTTACGATGAACGTGAAGGTTGTGCGAGTTGTGTCCCATTCCCGAATTCCAAAAAAAACAAAACTATCACATGGTGGTATCACAACAAATTAGTGTATTTATTCCAAATCAGCCCAAAAACTTAAATTAACAAATACAGAAAGATAGAAATAATTCTCCACCGACAAAGTTTAGTCCTAAAACGAGAATTATATAGGATTCTTACTCAAAAATTAAGTTGGGATTTGTGAGGTTGGTCGATTTTTGAAGTTGTTTACAATATTCAATCATCACATGATTAAGTAGATGGAAAAGTAACATTTAATGTACACCTTAAGTTACTTTGAAAAACTGCAACTTCTCATTTGGTTTTTTTGTTGCAATAATTTGTCCAACGACGAATTTAATTTCTCCTCGTCTCGGGAACATAAGAGTAAGAGCAAGATCCAGATCTGGACCAATTTGTGGGAGATTCTGTTTTTAGTTTTGTCAGATTCACAAAAACCAGAGTTTGCCTCTCTCACTTATTATAGATCTTGCAGACAAATTAAATGCCATCCCGATAATTAGATATGCCCATGTTACACTCCAACCAAGGGAACTATAAGAATATATTCTCTACTAATAATGTCACAATGAATTTAACATTTCAACTACAATCTGTAATTAGTTTGGTTTTCACAATGAATAAAACTAATTTTTCATTGGTTTATAGTAATGTCATTGTTGCGTCGATTATTTAGGTTGTATAATGAGACAAAAAAAAAACTGCGTACCTACATGTAAAAACTGTTAACACAGGGATGTTGATAATTATGCTGTTGATTAAATTCATTACAATATAGTAATAATCAACAATCTTGTAGCAATTGTTACATATCCCCACCACAACATACATTGGTCCCTACTCCAAAAAAGTTTAAAAGAAACCCATTGGTCCAAAGGGAATCCATACAATACTTTTAGTATACACATCAAATCCAACTTACAACTTTAACCCTCCCCATTATAAAACTAAAGGGTAACGAAAAATTGATAAAGGAGGACTAAAACACATCCTCTTCTTTTTAATTAGATGCATTATATAACTTAGTAGATGGATCGATTTATTTAGCATCGTTTTCCTTTTCTACAATATAGTGCACCAGCGTTTCCCGTGACCGAAGCCACCAACGAGGATGGTCTAGCCGAAAGACTCGAAGCCTTGGCATAGCTTGAAGAAGATCTTCCACCCGAAGGTGTAAAAAACGCACCGTTTAGGAACAAATCACCTTCTGATCTCCAATTCCAGTTCTTCCATTTGCTTTGTGGTGCATCTTCGTATTTAGTCACCTTTTATAACAAAATCACATAGTTTGTTTTGGTCAGATGGAATTGTATTTGACTAAAAGTATGTATTATAAAAAAAATACTCTCTTAGTTAGTTACCTCTTTGAAGACTCTATTGTTGGGAGCAAGAAACCTATTGCCTTGGCTGTTTATAGTTGGAGCCGCACTTCCACCAATTGCATACATTTGCCAATGCGTATAATCATTATTCACCACATGAAAATATCCATGCCTACATCTGTCATTTTCCCCAAAAAATAACAGTTTAATTAGTTCAAATAATATTAAAAAACTCAGAGAGACAAATTTAGCAAAAATCTAAAAAGTTAAAAACTTTATAATTTACCTTGGCATTCTCTGAACAAGTCCTTCACCAAAATGATTAAAGGCAATGGTGACTTGCATGTTCTTATCTCTAGTGTACGAGTCACTGTGTCCCAAAAGCATCACTTTGTTGTGGTGCGTCAAGTAGTTATTAGAGATGGTAATGGCCGTTGATCCATGAATCGCGTCGACAAGACCGTCCGCACAGTTAGACAACGAGCAATGGTCTACCCACACGTGTGATCCACCGAAAATCGAGACGGCGTCACCGTCAGACGCCGTTCTCCACCCGTAATGCGACGGAGAGTCTCTTACGTAAGCATTGCCTCTCTTCTTGCAGTCGTGGATGTTGAGGCCGTGGATAATGATGTTGGTCACGTACTGAACCGTGATGCACGCGCCGCCGGCGATGTGTACGTTCGCTCCACGGCCGTCTATGGTCTTGAACGAGTTCATGATCAGCTCTTCTTTGAGCTTTATCACCATGTCACGTGCGAAGATGATCCAGAGCGGCTCGTCTTGGATCACTGCGTGTCTTAGTGTTCCCGGTTTAGGGTTAACAGCGTCTTTGTCGCTCGGGTCGGTCACAACGTAGATTTTGCCGTCACGGCCACCGATTGCGTGTTTGCCAAACCCAATGGCACAATCGGCTAGTCGTTGTCGGTTTTTCTCCCATTTTGGGTCGCATCTCCAACAGTCGTCGATCGGATTTCCGGTCCCACATGAAAGGACACCTAGATTCCTCCTAGAGGCATTAATCTTCCTGAAAATATATATTCAAGAATGTTAAAAAATGTGGATGTTCAATAGTTTAAACTTTTAAATTCAAGAAGATTTAGAGAAATTTCATTTACGCACTCGTTAACTTCTTGAACTACGAGTTCAGGGTCGGAGACATGAGTGGAGGAAGTGAAGGTTGGAGCTAGGACAAGGAGGAGACATGAGAAGAAGGAGAGAGACAAGTGAAGAAGTGTCATTCTCTTTATTTGTCTCTCAGAGAGGATTTTTAACTTATTAATGTGTTTATGAGATTTGAATGTTTTTTGTTTTGTGATGAGATAAAATGGTGAGAAAGGCTTTGGCTTCTTTTATAGGAAAATCTCATCACCTTGATTTTTGGGGTTTTTAAATTATGGAGGTCCCACTCTTTTCAGATTCTTTAATTTTGGTATATTTTAAAAGAGAAAAGATTAAAAAAATACCTACGTATTCAATAGGAGGAATATGATTGAGAGAAATCAAAATTAACTTGGTCACATTTTACAATTATTTTATGGCAGCTCTTTAGGTTACCATTTTTAAATTGACCGGTACGGTTCCTGATTATTTCACGTACTGTTTTGAATGGTTACTGCGTATACAACGAACTAAAAAGAGCTAGTATAGAAAAAGACACTGTCGTTTTAAAATACATTATAAAACTTATCAAATAGCATCCTGTTCATGACCAAACCATTTTTAATTAATATAAATATGCATGATAAAAAAAAAAGCATTACATAAGAGAATGGACTAAGGAAAAAATGATTTTTCTAGTTCCAAGTTCAATTTGTTTTGGTCCATATCTGATATTGTGAGGCATGTATACACATGTCAAGTGGATAATATAATATGAAGAATATTTTTTTTTGACAAACAGAGGTGATTTCCAATTCTTAATGAGAAGAGACTTTTGTAATAACATAATAATGCTGAATTTGTTGCAACTTTTTGGCTAAAATTAAGGGACGTGATAGATGAATTCACTTCTAAATTAAAATGATCGGTGCCGCAAACAAAAGTTCGTTTTTATGTTCGAGTCATAAGTTGAAGAGTATGGATACGTACATGTATTGATGTTTAACTTTCTTTAGCAATGCTTTTCTTTCTTAAAACAAAGAAAAAAAAACTACTGATGCTTTTCTTAAAACAATTTGCCCTTTTGTGATCCTTTAATTTTTTTGGCCGTGCAATAAAGCGACTTTTTTTATAAAACAACACTGTTGAACAAAAGGGGCAATGCTGATAAAAAAATAAAATCAACTTGTCTTGAGCCCCATCTTCAACTGAAAAGTATATATGTGTTCTTCGCAGTAATAAGGACCTGATAATTTTTCATATAAGATATATTATTGTATTATTTAGTTGTGTTAATATAATGATTTATCAGTTCAATTTCAAGACAGTGGTTAACTCATGTTAAGTACATTGGTAAGCATACAAATGCGTAACTACCACTATATATAAATATGACGAAAATACAATTCATCCACAAGATAGTCATATATGGGATGAGAAATATCACATGAAATGATGAAAGAATATCTATCAGATCATATATTAAGTTATTAACTGTATAAAGTAACATACGATAAACCTTTTTTATTTTAGCAACAACTGTAAAACCTTTTACAGTCTCTGTTTTAAGTGGACGTTCTCCACAAACCTTGCAAGTGCAACGTATACTTTTTGTCACAGTATATTAATATTATTAATATAAATTCTTTGTTTTTGTCTTTTTTATTTCTTTTCGTTTTCTGGATGACTAACTTGCTACGTGTATATACATATTTACTTAGGGTTCTGATCACGTGTCTACCATCTTTTGATTATTTACTTTTGAAGCATCTCTGGTTACATTTAGAAAAAATTAGAAATATCCTATATCTTTATGATGATATAGAAAAAAAAAGCATTATATAGCTTTGAAACAAAAAAAAAATCACAAACGTCATTTGTCGGTCTATTTAATAATCTCTAATTATGTTTTCTGAAATTTCCCTTTCTAAATCGAAAACGCATTGTAACTGGGATGATTAGGAGTTAATTAGGACAATGGATTAATGGGCCCACCCATTTCCCCACCAATTATTGCTGACTCACAAAATTAACACTATTCATAAATTAATTAAGCTCTGACAAAAAAGTACGATATCGTAGGACACATCGGAGCCGGTTTCAGATCCAATAGTCGGAAACCGATTTTGGTTTTGGATTAGAGTCATGTTGCTGATGTGGCAAATCACTTAAAGGTCACGTTCGTCCATGTGAGCCTTGTCTGGTCACAGCCCCTGCTGCATTCATGGGTATCATCTCGACCGTTCATTACTTAGATGCCTTCCACCGTCAGCCCTCCGATCTCCGATGCACCGGTCATTTTCGCGCCACCAGTTTTTGGAAAGCCGTTGTTTAATTGGCTATATGCTCCGAGTTTCTTAATTCCTTTGCTTGATTTCGGTTCATTAAGAAATTAAATATATGTACTAGAAAGACTTATAAGTTTACAAAGAACGAGGATAGTATTAGAGATTAGAGATTAGAGATATCACATAAATAAAATATGCTATTTTCGAATATATCAAAGTAGAGACCTAGGATGGGAGCAACTATATCTTGATTAAAATGGATTAAGTGGAATCTAGATGAACACATTTTAATTTACTTATGATATGATTGGTAATTTGCGCAATGATGATCTGATTTTAGTTTTATGTATGTCCTAAATTTTTTACCATCTGTACTTTTTATAAATAAAATCATGTTTTCTTATCCAAACATTTTACAGTATTATACGAATTTTAAATAAAAAAAAATATTTTAGTTTCACGTTTTCAAAATGTAATTCTTTTTGTTTTGTTTTATCAGTCACAACATTCATCAATTTGTATGTGTTAGATTTGGTAGTCATCTCGATTGCTCTATGATCTTCCTATCAAATTACCTAACACAAGCAGCTATAGTAACATTCCAACTCTTCTCATTACCAAAAAATCAATGTTTCACAAAAGAACAAAACATATTTATATAAAAAAGATGAATTGCCAAGTCGTAAAGAGAGAATTAGAGGCTGGAGTTCTCAAAATTCTCCATATACAGCCAGAAGATCAATTTGCATACGCCATCACCAAATCTTTGTATCCTTTTCCATTTCACGAAACATCTTGAAAGGATTTATTCAAAGTTAAGAAGAGTCTAATCAGGATTAACTTGTTTGTTATAGTATGGAACATAGTTTATGGTTAATTCGTCTTCCCCTTGTATAAAGGACGATTCTGTTCATTCTATCTAATATATAATGAGAAATCCTGTCCTCATTTCTTAACTGATAAAGTCATACCTAATTTCCGATTAAGAGTTAAACCATAAACATTACATAGATCTTAATTTCACCCAAGATACACGAAAATTTAAAAGAATACAACTTATACAAATGCCTAAATTAAAGGATCTAACGATTGCGATAGAATAGCCATTTTAAGAAGTCTAGGATTCGAAATTTGATTAAAATTAGAATTTAGCACAAATTCAGCTTTAAGTATTTCCTTGTATTGTCTTCAACTACGGACGATTAGTGTACGTCCACGGTCCATATACGTACGCAGAACGCGATGGCTTGGAAACGCGGACGAAGACAAATATTTAAAATACAAGAAAATACATTCTAATTATTGAGAAATACAAATGATTAGACCAATATTCTGTTGCTGAATAATGGAATGTTAAACTCTGTTCGTACATTAGTCGTAGTAACGAACTATATATATAAATACAAACCATTAAATATATAGTATGGACATTATTTACGTATAGATAAGAGCTTTGAAGAAATATGGTGACATAAAAGAGGGAGTCACATGGGAATTCTGAAGCCATGTGCTGATCATGATGATAGCTTTATATAATCATTGTTCTCATATCGCTATTGACATTTGTTACCATGAATTCTTTTTTATTTTGACAAAAATATAATATTAGGGTTGACAAAAAAGTACAGTATTATATAAACTTGTAACTGCATTTATAAATGCATATGTTTCTGTTCTTGTGAGTGTCTAATGACTTGTTAAATTGTTGTTGCCCATTTTGTTAGGTTATCAAAAAGTCAAGCATTTTGATTACTTCTTATCAGTATTTGATTATATACTACTTGATAATCATTACGGGTGTAATTAAGAGGTGTCCCAAGTCCCGACGACCCATTACATTAACTTAAACTACTACTCCTATATTGCACAATCTTTTTTTGGAATAGTTTTCATAATCCTTGCTAATTTTAGTAATTTACACATCACGCGATTAGCCAATTGAATGAAACTTGGGTTTCATCAGTGAGACTTTATTACGAAAATCATGAATTAAACGGAAGAAAGCTTCATATTCTCCAGGTTTCAGAATGTTATTTCAGCCATGATGCTCAAATTGATTTCTATTGATCAATAGTAGTAATATTAAATAAAGATGGATGGTATGCGACAATTTAAAAGGAGCAAAGGAAATTTGATTACTCAAAAAGTTTACCAAGGGAAATGTCAACCTCCTAATGATTGGATCATGTGTGATAAAGTATGAAATCAATACAAAATTATTATCACCCACTCTAATGATTAATCTTTGTAATGGTAATGACACTAAAATTACTTAGATAAGAATGATTAATATTATCTAACATCATCAGATAGCCCTTTAACTTTTTTACAACGAGTTGTCATAATTGTATAGTAAGTCTGATGATTATGCATATCGAAACAAATCTAAATACAATCAGAAACATAAAATACTAATCGTTAACATCGTTTTTTACGTAGAACAAAAACCCATATGAACACATGTCTATATTTTCTGACCGTTCGTATAGGTTTTTTATAAGTTAAAACTCACAAATGTATAGATACACATGTCAAACTTTTGGCTCGGTTTCTTTCTTGATCTTGGTCACAAAGTCACATTAGATTAAAGAGCGGCTTTCCTTATAACTTCTAATGTAATGGTCACAACAAATTCACATTTTATCTCCCACTATAAAAGATTCGAACCCAATCAGAATGGAAATGATATGAAAGATTTCAGACTATCATGTCATCAACTAGTCAATGAAAATGTTCGGCCTTTACTTTGAATAACACATGCCGTTTAATTTTAAGTTTGTGAGCGACACAAAAGACACCAATTATAAAGAACCAAAGTTATATATCCCAAAAAGAAAAATAAATTCCCAAAAATCACAAATCAAAAACCAATCCAATCATATTTGTTTTGTGTTGTTTACTAAACAGTATATTAATATTTCTTTATAAAAAGTTTGATTTTAATTTTCAAGAGATGCGAGTTCAGTAGGTTATTATTAGAGACAAAATAAATTAAAAAAAAAAATCAAAAATAATATAAATAGAACTATTTGTTGTGGACCGGCAAATCTATTATGAATCTTTGTATAATATATAAATTACCTTTTAAAAATTATCTTTATAATTATCTAATAATTCAAATGAAAAGAAGAAAAACAATCCAATCAAGGAGTTTTATTTTCATTTAACTATGTACGTAGTTGAAAAATAAAACTTAGGTTAATTTTAACTGTTTTAATGTCTTTATAAGGTATGAGATGTGTAGCTTGTATTTATTTGAGCATCACGAATCAATTTATAGTGGGCCTGTGATACACCCCTAGAGTTTTCAAGCCCATTACTTGATAGCCCTCCTAACTTTGTCGTCATCAACTGCAATTTAAAAAAAAAAACGCTAAACGCGCCAAAATGTAGACGCTAGAATCGCAAAAGCAGAATATCCCAGAGAAACAGTTATTGTTCCTTCCTTCTTCCGTTGAACTAACAAAATAAAACCATAACCATCTTTAAAAATGTCATTACCTTCTTGTTAATATGTACAAACCCACTTACTTACTTTAAACATTAGTCAAGAACAATGGCGAATGAAAAAACCTAAAATTAAAATTAAGAAAGATGCTTTTTTCCAAATCTTTTTAAGAAAGATCAATACCGACAACTTTCGCTGGTTCCGCTCGTTCCGTCAAGTTCTCATCCAGCTCGACCCCGAGCTGCCCTCTGTCCCCGGCCCCGAACGCGTACACTGTCCCGGACTCGGCCATCGCAAATGTATGACTCGTCGACGACACAGAGTTCGTCAAACTCACATGAACCATACGCTCTTTTGTATCATTCAACGACGAAACCAGCTTCGGTGTCAGAGTATTCTCATCCACATCGCCCTGCTAAATCCCAATATCAAGAACCATTGTCTAAACTCCGAAACCAAGGAACCAAGAAGAACACAAACCTGACCAAGATTGGCTGAAAAGCCACATCCAAATGAGTAAACCTGACCATCATCAGCCACAACAAAGGTCGCGTAATCTCCGGTGGCGACGTGGATGGCTTTAACATCTTTTAACCCCTCTACGACCTTTGGAGCCAACTCTGGCTCTTCGGTACCGTGGCCCAAGCAGCCATACCGGCCCCATCCCCAAGTGCAGACTCGCCCGTCTCTCCCAACTACAGCAGCATGCCATAGCCCTGCTGAGACCATAACCGGTTCCATGTTCAAGAGACTAAACGTCTCAATCAAGCGAGGCTGTTTCTCATTGGTGTCACAACCATGCCCAAGCTTCCCACCCAAACCGCATCCAACAGAGTACACCGACCTATACATAGACGTAATAACATAGTAAGTACACATATGATCAGGTTTAAAAACAATGGAAGAGTCCGTTACAGGCCACTCACATGCCATTGGGTTGATATGCTAAAGCAAGGAGATAGCAAAAGCCAGCTGCAATTTGAACGACAGGGACGTTCTCCAAGGCTCCTAACAGAGGATGAGGCAACATACAGTTAACGTCTGTTCCGTGACAGAGTCTTTCATCTTTTCCCCATGACAATGTATAGACCCTGCCTTCTCTCGACAAGACCGCCGTGAAGTAGTTCCCTATCGCGGCTTGCACCACAAAGATTTCAGTCAATGACTTGACACGCTGCGGAGTCGTGATAACCTTAGTTTCTTGAACCTTTAAACCGGCCTCGCTATAACAATCTTTCCCAAAGGCGTAAACTTCACCAGCGTCACTGATTAACATCGTTCTATCAGCGCCAATAGCCGCCTGAATGATCCTGATCCCGTTAAGTGATCTGCAAACACAATGTACCTCCGGTTTACTCAACGTTCCTGAGTATTAGGCCAAAACTGAATCATCAGAGAGATGAGTGAGTCAACCTGACTGGTCGAGGCTGCCAAGTGTCCTCAGTGGTTCCCTGTCCGAGTTGTCCTGAACCGTTGGATCCGAAAGAGTAGACAAGTCCCTTTGATGTCACGGCGATGCTATGACCAGGACCAGCAAGAGCCTGTGATTTCTCCCTCCTGGAACTTAACTCACCAGCTAGCAAGAACTTTAGAAGCAGCTTCCACGAGCCTCCGCATCTCCTCTTGAGTTCTTGCCGTTCTTCCTCCTCCATACGTTTAAACATCGCCCTCTTCTGGCATATGTCGAGAGCCGCGACTTCCGAGATGGAGAGCTCAAAGTCTGGAGAGAATTTCGCCGGCTTCCTGAAGAACGAACAAGTCGCCTGAAGAGAAAAAAAAAAAAAACCCAGATAAACCAAATCAGAATAGCATCAAAACCCACATGAAAGCAAGAGAGAGAGCAATCATCAATCACTTGCCTCGAGTTTTGCTAAGTCCCGAGGACTAAAATCACATGTTGTGAGAACATGAAGGACAATGGAAGGACAAGAAGCCAAGAAGAACTCTCCAGGAGCAGAGTTCCCAAGGCAGTGGCGTTTCAGGCACACGAATGAAGGGAAAGGCAACTCCATAGCCGCCACGATTGGATTCTCCGGGATGCTATGGAGTTGCAACGTGGTCGCAGGGCTAACACCATTTGATGATGCTGTAGAAGTATCCATTAGGCACTGCTCCAGGTTTTTGCAGAGCCCAAATGTTTTATAATAACTTCACTGGATATCATCAGCAAACCCATATCGTTAAACTAGTGCATTGCTCAGTCCTGTGATCTAAACTCCTTAATTTCCAAGAAAAAAGGAGCTACCTTTGATGCTAAATAGTGATGATGAACACAGACGGATTGAAAACTGGCGAGAGGAATGCTGTTTCATGTTTAAGCCAATAAGATCACAAAACAGATCATTCAAAGATCGAAAATTGTAGTCGATAAACACGAGATCATTAGATTCACAACTGATTAAAAACGAAAAACATAAGCAGTTTAGAACAAACCCAGATCAGAACCACCAAACCAGGCCTAAGGAGAATCATCATATGATTAAACAAATATTAACCGATCAGTCAAAAAAAAAACACCAAACACAATCATTAAAAAGTGCTCTGTTCCTGGGGATCGTGATCGTCGATCGTCGATCGTTGATCATCATCAACATATAGAAAAGTTAAAGCAGAAGATGGATCAGAAGAGACCCATAACTTTTTCATCAAAAACTACATCGATGGTTCAAGGGAAAAAATTACCAGACTTTGAGACTCACAAGTTGGACCAAAAGAGAGAGAGATTGTGATTTCTTTTGTTTAGCGGTGGAATTTCACAGAGAAGAAAAGGAACGGACTTCAATTCATATTGTTCTGTTGTTTGTTCTCCGTGAATTTCTATAAAAATTGATCCTTTTTGGGTTTTTATGGAAACGAAGAAAGGATGGGGTAAGCTTCAATCTTGTATATATATCTCTATACGTTTCATCATAAAGCGATTAGGTGTCAGCGTTCACAGATGTGGAAATAAAATACTTACAAGTCCACTTGTATACAAAGCCCAAGTCCATTGTTTTTGAATTTTGATCATTTGCCATTTTAACTTTGTGAAAAAAAATGTTTTGATAAAGCAAAATTAAATATTTTCAGTAGATGATGTTGTTGTGCAATAGAAATGATGATTTTTTTTTTTCCCTCAAAAGACATAAGATGGGTTCAAAGTTCAGACACGTTTTAAATGATTTTTTTTTTATCATTCAATTGTTGTGAGACAAATGATTTTCAGTCCATAATGGACACCTATTATCTAATATTAACACCCATGTCGTTGTGGAACATGTGATTTTCAATTGCATGTTCAAGTAATAATAAAGCTATTATTCAAGTCGTCATTTACTGTTTCACTTAATAAGGATGTTCAAGTGCTCGATACTTCACTTAAGAAGGCAACACATTTATATAAATTTTCAGACATCATTCAATTGTGAAAAAGTAAACTGAATTAAACTACGAAAGTTAAAAGTGTTTTAGATACAAAACTGAACCGAAACTAAACCAAAATTATGGGTTTGAATGGTATGCAGTTTTTTCACGTTTTCACGTTTTAGAAACTTGATTCTGTTATTTTTTACCATTCATGTTATTCATCACGTTTTCACGTTTTTTTATGTTTTTGAAACGTGATTCCGCTAGCGTGTTAAAAATATAACTAAAAAAACAAAACATGATTAATCTACTAAAAGTAGCTTTTCAGCGTTTCACAATTATTCAGCTAAAATATTATTCAGTTCAGTTCATTCCGCTAGTAATTTTTCAGTTATTCCGCTATTCTGTTATTCATCTGACATACCAGTCAGACCCTATGATTATAAGATTTCTTGTCAAAGTGGAGCAAATGTAATATGCCAATCTAATTTGAATACTAAACATGGAACACTCTAAAGGTAAATCTTGTAAATCTTGATGAATAATACCGTTCTTAGCAAATCCATGATTAATATGAAGCCAGAAATTCACGACTAGTTCAATATTTATCTATTGAGATACAGTATTTGTTTAGTTAAATAACTCTGCTCGTAATTTTTACATTAATATATTGTACAATATATTCAGTGTAATTAGCAAGATTTCTTTTCACCAATATATGTGTGTTGAAAGCTTTTGTAGACACACTCATCTACACTACATTTATAGTAGAAGGATCCATTGGATTGCATATGAGATAAGCTGTGTTCATAGCTATTTTCTGGCTGTTTGAGATTCTGTAATTAAAATTAAAAATTTATATTTACAACTCTTAGTTGAGCTTGATTTTTAGAAAAGTATTTCAAATAGTGCAGCTCACTTGGAGTTTAGTAATCTTGGATCTTTGAAGAACTATACGATCTAGTTTTGATATTTGGATGTGGAGCATTAGTGACGTGGTGGTTTCTCTAAAGAGCATTCATTAGTGACAAGGTGCATACAAAACTCTTCGTCAACTCTTTGATTGATTCATGTTTAGTAAACTTTTCGACTCGAATGATATACAAATCATTTTAGCGATTCATCCGCCTTTTCGCACACAAAAAAAAAGCGATTCATCCAAGCAAAGCATTTTTGAGAGACAATTATAATTGGTCCCATACCAAACTCAAAAACTATTAATGTCATGTTATTTCAGAAAGATCAAACACTTATGTGACGAACCTTTTTGGATTTTGTGGCGACTTGTCAACTTGTAGCTTTAAACATCAACAAATTTCTATTTGAATGTTCTCCACATTACAGATTTGGGCTCTATCCCCTATTCTTTCAGTGCTGAGTTTTTTCTCTACAAATAGATTTTAATATTCTAGACTAGTTTTCCGGAACATATGTAGACACATGCATGGTTGGATCGTACATGATTTTTCATCTAGGCTTTAAAGGATTTCGAAAATGCTTTTATCTCATTCATGCATAATTAGGGACAATAAAATGTTTGATATCAGTATCCATTAGTGGGATAACGTTTCAAACCGATTTTGTTCATTTTTTATCTCTTTTTTTGGTCAACGCACTATATATTAAAGCAGGAAAAGAGTTTTACGCTCCATTAAAAGATTAGAGGAGGATACAACTAGTGATGTCAAAGCAGCCTTTGCAAGAGAATCCGCTGCGGAATTCTCCTTCTTGGCAATTGCTTTGAATGAAATGCAGGAAAATAAAGATAGAGACTCCTGAATATCTGCGAGAATCCCTGCAATTTCAGGCGGAAATTCTCCAGATTTGATCAGTGAGACGAGGACTTGAGAGTCCGAATTCACTTGGATTTTCTGTAATCCAAAGGGTGTGAAAGCCGTAAGTGCTTCTCGGATGGCGAGAGCTTCTGCTGCTAGGGCGGACGGAACAAATTGCCACGATGAAGATCCTTGACTGATCGTGATTTCTTGATCGTTCTTCAATAACCATCCCATAACTGCGTCTAGTGTTTGGGCATGCCAAGCTCCATCCGTAAAACACATGTACATTCATGGGCTTGGGGTGGGATGAGGTTGGGCTTTTTTAACTAGGCCCACTGGTTGTGTTTGTTGGGCTTGTTGCCAATCTTTAGCCTGTTTGATCGCAGTCAAGATTGTGTTTGCTGGAGATTGAGAGAGGCTCTCGAAGAGAAGCAGATTCCTGGCAATCCAGATGCTCCATAGCAACCATGGGTAAAGCGGTGTCGAAGTTAGTCCCACTGGTGGGAGTGTTGTCGATCGCGTTAATTGTTGAAGGATCTGTTTCGCGGAGGGATTTGGTGCGGCTGCATCTGAGAGATGTGAGAGCGGTGCCATTGACCATACTCTTTGTGTAAAGGGGCAAAGCCAGAGTATATGGACTGTCGATTCAGGATTATTGCAGCGTTTGTAGAGCAGAGAGTCTGTAAATCCTCTACTGGTCAGTGCCTCTCCAACTGTAGAGTTCCTCTCATGGCTTTCCACAGAAAGGATTTTAATTTGGGGGAGATTTTCAGTTGCCAGATGTTAGCTTTCCAGTTGAAGTTTTTGACTCGCTGATCCTCCGGTTTCATCCTCAAGAGATTGTACTTTGTTTTCACCGTGTAATCGCCTGATTTGTCTGAAAGCCAGACTAGTTTGTCTTTTGGCTTTGATCTTCTGGTGATGAGTCGTCGAATTTGGCCCTCATACTGAGGTAAGTAGCTTCTGATTGCTTCCAAGTCTCATTCATTTGACGTTTGACATAATAGATCCTTGACTTTGAGAGATGCTGCAAAGCTTGTAGAGGGTCCGTATGGAACCGTTGGAGTTGTCATAGAGAGCCACGGTTGTCATCAGACACTGATTTCTGAGCCTGTTCCCATCGCCCAAATGGCTCCAAGCTTTATGACTTCACGCCCTGCTAAGATTCCTCTCCACCCGTGCGATGGGTTTGAAGGTATTGAGCACTCCATGAAGGAGGAATTGTGGCAGTATTTGCCTAACAAGACCTTACTAAGAAGGGAATTCGGGTGGTGGATGAGCCGCCAGCTTAGTTTAGCTAGCAGAGCCTCATTATACATCTCAATGTCCTTGAAACCCAAGCCTCCAAGTTTCTTTGATAATGTAAGTTTATCCCAGGAAACCCAACAGATCTTTCTTTGATCCGGTTTTGTATCCCAAAAGAAGCGTGTGAGAACTGACTGTATTTGCTTGCAGAGTGATATCATGAGTTTGAAGCAGAGCATCGGGTGGGTAGGCATTGCCGTGAGTACTGACTGAAGGAGGACTTGTTTGTCGGCAGGAGACAGGAAGTTTGATGTCCAGCTGTGTGATTTCTGCTGTATTTTGTCCACCAGTGCCGTGAATATATCCATTTTCCGTCTACCAAAGTGTTCTAGTACTCCCAGGTATTTCCCTAAGCCTCCTTCGTTTTGAATGTTTAACGTCTTTTTGATTCTCTCTTTGGCTTCTAAAGGGGTCTTTGTAGAGAAAGTGATGGCTGACTTTGCTAGGTTAATGATTTGACTTGATGCTTCTTCGTATTGCCTTAGGATTTCCCGAAGAGCTTTGCAGTTTGTCTCGTTTGATTTGCTGAAGAGCATAGTGTCATCTGCGAAAAGGAGGTGATTCACTGAGGGACTATTGCGTGCCACTCTTACTCCTGTGAAGTCTCCCGACACTTAAGCTTTTTTGCATAAACCTAAGAGAACTTCGGTACATATGATGAAGAGAAACGGCGACAGCGGATCCCCTTGGCGTAGCCCTCGAGTTGGTTTTACTGATCCCATTGGACTCTCTTTGATCAAGCATGAATAGATAACCGTTGTTACACAGTGCATAATCCAGTTGATCCATTTCTGCTGAAACCCCATACTCTCGAGTACGGCTTGTAGAAATCCCCATTCAAGCCTGTTGTATGCTTTGCTCATGTCAGTTTTTACTGCCATGGAACAGTGAATTCCGGCCTCTGATGTTCTTAGGAAGTGTAGTATTTCATGTGTGATGAGCACATTATCGGAGATGGCTTTCCTTTTGACAAATGCTGATTGGTGTTTGGAGATGATGCCACTTAAGATTGGCTGGACCCTCTTGGTGAGTATCTTTGCCACTATTTTGTAATATACATTACATAGTGCAATAGACCTGTAATCTGAAGCTTTCTTTGGTGCAATGATTTTTGGGAGCAGACAAATATGGGTTTCATTTGCTCGAATAGGTAATCTTTCCAACTTAAAGAAAGTCTTTATTTCTTGGCTTATGTCCGCCCCTATGATATCCCAAAAACTTTGGTAAAAACTTGCTGAGAAACCGTCAGGCCCCGGTGCCTTATTACCATTAATGTCGAATACTGCCTCTCGTATCTCCTCTGAGGATGGAATAGAGCAGAGAATCTCATTCATATCTGTTGTGATGCAGGGTTGTACCACATCAACGACCACATAGAGATTTGTTTGATATGATGTCGTGAAGAGCAGTTGGAAGTAGTCCTCAAACACTTTTGCTATGTTTCCTTCCTCCTTGTGTGTTGATCCTTGATCATCTTCAATCACTGTAAGGCGGTTTCTTGATCTTCTTCCTCTCGTAACTGCATGAAAGTAGCTCTAGTTATGATCTCCCCCTCTTAACCATAAAACTCTGCTTCTTTGTTTCCAGAACAGTTCTTCCTCTTTGTAGGCCTTTTCCAATGAAGCAGAGAGGTCCGTAATGATTTATGTGTTGGGGGTATCCGCTGAGAGAGCTGCTTCCAATCCCTCTTGAAAGTCTTTGATCTGTTTGGCGGCGTTGGCATTTTGTTCCTTTGTCCACCGGATGATTTCTCTGCGACATTTGTTGGTTTTGGTGACTACATCTGCCGCTTCATCAGACTCCCAAGTTGATGAGATAAGTTGTCGAAAACCTTCCTTATATTTAAGGGTTCTATTGTATCTGAAAATCCCTTTTCTTCTTTGCCTTTTCTTGTCCAGGAAGGTGATTAAAGGCCTGTGATCAGAATCCTCAAAGCGGAGGTACTCACTGTTCCCGGCGGAAAACATTTCTATCCAAACCGCATTTGCCATTGTCCTATCCAACCTTGAGCGAATGAAGTGGTTGTACCTTGTACCTCGTCAAGAAAGGGGATTTCCAACATATTTTAAGTCTCAAAGACCATTTTGGGTGACGAAACTGCGGAAATTCAGGAAGGAGCCTTCACATCTTGGGGGGGCCTCCTTTTTTTTCGGAGTTCTCCAATATCTCACTGAAGTCCCCGGTTAAGAGCCATGTTCCATCTCGGTCAAGACCCAAGAGAGAGATATGATTCCAGAATGCACAGCGGAGCTGGGGAGTACCGTAGATAAAGGTTATATGGGATGAGGATGTTTCGAAGACTAGTTTTGTGTCAATGAAGTTTGGCGAGGAGACCAGCACTTCTAGGTTCACTTCTGCCTTCCATAAGAGCGTCAAGCCTCCACTAGTTCCTTGAGGAGGGTAGAAAAAGTGATTCGAGAAGCCCATTCCTTGGACTTTGTCCAGTATGAAAGATTCAGCTTGCTTTGTCTCCATGAGGAACATGATATCCGGGTTTTTGTGCTTGTGAATTTCCCGGATTCTATGAACTGTCAAGAGGTTCCCCAGCCCTTGGCAGTTCCAGCTCGCAATGACTAAGGGAGCAGAACTCGATGGGACCAAAAATCCCCTCTGTCTGCTGAGGCTTGATGGTTTGCCGTGATATTCTGTGAGTCGTGGTTCTCTTGGGGTGCAATGGTGCTCGAGATCTCCCTGAGTTCCGAATAGTTTGAGTGGTTTGACTCGTGCTCGCGTAGTGATGCCCCTAACTGGGAGCGTTTCCTTGGTGGATTTGGCCCTCTGGTAGTTACTCTCTTCTTTGTTTTTGTTACTTTGGGTGAGTTGCTGGAACCCCGTTTCTTTAGTGTCGGTTTAACTTTCTGTTTTCCTGCAGCTCTTGACGTTGTTGCTAGAGTGGGCTTTCTCGGGTTCTTGTGTTTTTGTTTTTGTGCCTCTGGAGGAGAAGGGCCAAGCCTGAGTGATACTGGTGTTCGAGTCTCCATACCCGGAGTAGAGTGGTGTTCTTCCTGGAGTGGAACTTGTGTATTACCTCCTTCGTACATGATCTCCACTTCCTGAAGATGCTCTGAGGCATTGTTAGAATTGGTGTTTATGACTGATGGAGCTATTCTGTCTACAGCAGAGCCCCGAGATCCTGAGTGGCTGGAGACTTCTCCTCTCTCCTGTGTTCTGGATTCATACATTGTCTCCCTGGCAAGGTTTGGGGAAGGTGTATGTGAACATTGGATCCCGTGAGAATTTTGCCAATTGACTTGTGCCGCACTTTCTGGGGGACTTAGTGATAATGTTTTGTTTGACCGTTGTGATGATTAGCGCCTTTCGTATCCTTGGGCAGGTGGGGAAGCAATTCTGCGGGAGCTTACTCTTGGTTCATGTCTTCTTTCCCATATGGGTGTGAGCGGTAACTGTCAGAGGAAGTGCGGGATGGATATCGAGGGACAATACTCCTATCAGGATTCTGTTCAGATCTGGGGTAAGGTGTGAAACTGTGTTTAGCCCCAACTTCACGGAATTGTCTTGGGAGTCTGTCTCTCGGTCGATCTTGCGCTCTTTTATTGTGAATGTTAAGGTAAATCGGCCTTTGCTCTCTGTTTGCCCTCGATACTTCTTTTCTCTTCTTGTCGGTTTCAATATTGATGAGAGTTTTTTGTTGGTTTATCCCCATGTCTTCCAATTCTTTTTGTAGAGCTCTCGAGGGGCAATCTCTTAACTCGTGTTGAAGAGAGCAGCAAGAGAAGCAGTGCTTTTTCAGTTTCTCGTATTCCAGGTCCACATTGATGACTTCTCCTGTTGGGAGCCTGATTGGAAGGGATGTTTCCAGTGGTTGCAGACCATTCACGGGTACCCTGATCTTTCCTTCGTCTACATCCTTGTCTACTACATGACCCAACTCCTTCTCTATAGTCCTTAACGTTTGGTCAGACCAGTAG